ACCCCCACCCCTTACTATAACCAAATACAATTTCCTTCAGACTCGTGACTCCCCTACCCTCCCCCAAATTGGAATTTTAAATCGATAAGGTCAAACAAATAATGCTGTGCTCTCAAAGCGAGGGCCGGATTAGTGACACTGGAACAATAAATGAGTAATATGAACATAACACTAACACACCAATACACTTAATATCGGAAAGATATCGCACAAGTAAAGTAAATATATATATAGCGACTACAAACATCAATCATAGTCATCATTAATCTGCGTCACTCGAAACATTTGAAACATTAGTTTTTTTCCATCATCATGTTGTTATCAAATAAGGGAAATGTCTACGAGAGTTGAAATCGTCCCTGGTTCGTATTCATGAAACCGTTCTCATGCTCAAGCATGGATGATGAGCTCAAACCAACCTTTCTTGTAATGCACTTAAATCATGTCAAACTATCAAAAAGTCAATTGTAAACATTGAAAACAGCATTCGGCTTTAAGTCGCTTCATTTTTTTCCCAAATCATGGACAAAATAAAGCGTCATTATTAATTTTTAACCGAAACAAAAAATTTGGCACGTGCACAAAATCCATGCTTGAGCATGAAAACGGTTTCGTGAATACGGGTGCGCGGGGGGGGGGGGCGTTTTTGTTCAATTTAAATATAGAATTTCAGAATTATGGGAAAAAAAGCTAGGGGTTGTTAAACATTCTTATCTTTGTTGTGTAACATGAATTTTAACGCTACACCCTTTTACGTTTAAATATTTGCCTAGATTTGACAAATAGTCAATGTGGTTTAAAATGATACAAGTTAAAGGGAGATAAATCTAACAGGACAACCTCCAGTCATTTAGTTTTTGTCCGTCGAGTTAGATGAAAAGTCTTCAATGAATAAAACGAAATATAACTAATATTCATCAAGAATGAGTGATATAATTGTCATAACATTAAGAAATCAACATATTGGTTTCTGAAGTAACGGAATTCATCGCCAAAAGCGCGCCAAAAAATGTTACGACGGGTCACGCGATATTGGACAGGGGCTCGGTAGTAGTAATTTGCTTTTAGAATTAAATATTTTGCTTAAACATTTCAAAACATAAAAGTATCGAACAATGTCTCTGTGCTTACAATAGCAAATGTATAAATATAGCTCACCTTAATTTGCATTCAATGTACTCCAGAATCCATGACACATACGCCGCCTACAGTGTAATTCAATGTAGATATTTCTGTTTCAAGTCATTGATATTACCTCCTGACGTAAAAGTTTTTCGCCTAGTTCTAGTTGTAAACATATCTATGCAAACCCCTTCATCTACAATTCCTGCTGTATAAAATAGTTATATATGTTATCTGAAAACCTGACTATTTCTTACGAAAAAAATGTTTTGTGTTGGGGTTAAACTATAGTTAGTTTAAACATATGTTATTGCTATAAAAAAACAAAGGATTGGGCAAAAGTTTCAAGAAGATTTAAAAACGCCCTTTCATCACAAAACTAAATGACGGAAGTTAAACTAAACGACATACTTGAGTACAATTCGTCTTCTTCGCTACTGACACAGCATTTCAAGGAGAAGCCAAGCGGAGGACAGAAAAACAGCGGCAGATGATTGACTTATATGTTTGGATAAGAACGGAGTTTTATCATTTACTTACCTGTGGATACCTGATGGCATATAGCTTTTTCCCCGATGACATGAAAGCATAAATAATCTGGAAGGGTTTTGGTATTCACATACTCGAAAACAGCTCAAATATTTATATTATCTTTAAAGTTTATGCTATCGATGGTTGGTTCCGTGTGTTGATTTTTGCGCTTTGTTTGGTTAGTTTGTGTTTTACGTTCTAATAACAGCTATGGTCATGCAAGGACGGAGCCGAATATCCCGGAGAACATCACCGACCTACGACCAGTACCTGGCGACTGCCCCACGTAGGTCTCTAACCCGCGACTCAGTGGTGGAGTGCTAGTGGTAGCAGAATGTCAGACGCCTTAGCCACTTGGCCATCGCGGCCCCTTGATTTTTGCGATTGGAAAACAAAAAGATTTTATAAATTGCGCGTTTGAAAGTTTATGAGTAAATATACCAGTAGGTATTTTTTTCTATTATATTGCTGCTATTTCATGTGTTAATTTCTTCAAAGTGACATTATTTTTAATGTTGGCTCTTGCGGAAGAAACAATTCAAATGTCACCATGTTGGTTGCCATTTCCATTCATTTGTGGGTTTGAAGAAAGAGTAATCCAAAAACATTTCCATAGACATAAATCAAAACTGTTAAGTCCAGCAAAATGCATCCTCGATAGTCAGGGGTTAAGCTCACTTAGATTGTGTGTATTCCGTCTTTGCGTATTGCAGAGTTATCTTCTCTCGGGAGCAGGTATTGATTCTTACGTCAGTTGTTTGTGAGAGTAACGTCATCAAATTTTGATAAAACGACGTAATTTTCTCATACAAACCAATGACGTAACAATCAATACCTGCTCACAAGAGAAGATAACTCTGCACTACGCAAAGACGGAATATCGAGGTGATATGCTGATGAAGTTTTTTTAAAAGTACGTCGTGGTATCAAAGTTTTCCGTCTGCAACGTTTTTACATCGTGGTTAAAGGGAAATAACTCCTATAGATATAAAATGATTCGGTTAATCAATATAACTTGATACGGATGATTGGTATTCTATAGCAATTCGACCAATACCGATGTCGCGAGATTTGCTAAATGTAGCGTGTGACCTAACAGTCAAAGAGGAAGTAAACTTGGACGGATGGAGTGTCTGGACAGAAGGTGAGTTGTTGACAATTATCAAACCATTTCAGACTTGTTGATACCAACAACGTATTTATATATAAATCCCTGGTTGTTTCACACATTTTATCCATTTAATCACCGAAGGAATCTCCTAGAGCTCAACAGATGGTAGTCTGACTCAAACACCGCCGGATCCGACTGACTATTAACCGTTTGTTTCAGAAAATGTATTTATTTCTTTTACGCATGTACATTTAAACATTGTTAGAAAATGTTACTTAGATTATCAAAGGTTACAATTGTATATATATATATATATATATATCATTGAATAATAGATTCTTTTATTTATCTATTGTGGAGGGGGTGGGGTGAGGGGGGAGATGAGGTTGTATGACGCTTGTTTGGGTTTGCGAGGGAACTCCGGAATTTATATATATGTATAGTGTACCTAGAACGATAGCAGACGACACTGTCGATAGACAATGTTGTGTATTATATGTTCTTATAAATATAATTATTGTTCGACAAATGTGTATATGAAACGAGAACCGCGTTTAACATTGATTCATTCGTACGCCTAAGTTAAATATGTCATTTAACACACAAAGTATTAAAACTCTGTTGTTCGATATTCTTAGTTGTTCGATATTCTTAGTTCTAATTCGGCGAACGGTGAACTTCCTGGTTGGGCTTTTCTGACAAAACTATTTAGGCCGATCTAAATAGACCAATAATCAGATTGCGCGAGCTGGTCATATGAGCTTGAATCAATTTAATTAAAATAAAATAATATTGTGTTTGAGCAAATATAGTCCTACTCAAGTCTAAGATTTTATTTCATATAAAAGATATTCAAGCACACGTAGAGCTGACAAGACGAGCTTGGTACGCTCGATGCAATACAATACCAAATCTTTACATACTTTCTACAATATGTGTGTTCGTTTTTAAGTTGAATTGTATATCTAACTTATTAGTTAAGCCTTTATGGAGTTCTGCAGACGATTTGTTTTTCTGAAAATGTTATAAATTTACTTTAAGTACATGCACATCTACTGAGATTTTTTGTTGTATTTCGGCCTCTGTTGCTCAGCTTATAATTGAACATCAAATTCATGAAAAGGGCTTAACATACTAAGGCGGGGAAGTTTCTCGCTAACACTCTCTTATCTAGATAAAGTTGTCTATCGCGTTCTTTGGGATGACATTTATGTGTACGATTGTAAGATGTGCAATAACTGATTTAGTACCCGACCTATATACATCTGGTGAAAATATCGACGCCATTTCATCCTATAAATGTTGTTATTTAAATTGATCGCACTCTTGTATAACTCAGACACAGCCTCGTAAATGCACTATAGTCATAAATATATGACTCGTATCTACTATAAATAAAACAAACGATACCGGTGTTTTACAATCTGTTGTGTCTATAATGTATGTTTTTTAGAACGAAATATATGTTGGGAAGAAAGATTTGATCACAGCCATGAGAATTAAGTTTTACGAAAAAATATTATTTGTGACCACGAGTCTATCTTCTTAACAAAATGGTGCCGTGACACTCCACATCGCGAAATATTTTGATGGCAAGGTAGCATATGTTGAATATGCAAGACAACAAATGTAAATTTGAAAACGCTATTACACTTGTCCTGTAGTTACAGATGTACTAGGAGTTCATTCGATAACCATTTTGCGTCGATTGAAAACATCATTCGATATTTGAACCACATATTAAGGAATAATAAACGTGTGCGCGTGTATTACAGTTGAAAAAATTCGGAGGGTGAGAAAATGTTTGAAAAAAATACTTAACGAAGGCCGCTTGCGATTCCCGGCATTCAAACCTGTCTTGTGCGCGTTCAAGACAAATAAAAACAATAGCCTGAATCAGGCAAAGTCACAATTTATAATTGAAAAAATCCAATGTCAGTCAAGGTGTTTCGAAACAAGTATATCAGTATAATTTTTGTTCATATTTTGCAAAAGTCTCTTCATGCGTAAAGAACTGTTCTCCGAAAAGTCCGTGATTAAGAATTAATACACGTGCGGATTAATTATTCAACAACTGAAAGTTAAAGAATGAGATTTTTCGTTCACAGATTTTACGTTGAGATATCCTGTAGAATTTAGTCATGAACTACCAGCCCGTGTCGCCTACCTACTACGTCTACGTTAACGGGGCGTTTGTTCCCGTAGCGCTGGCTCCAGGACAAATACCATGTGGGCCGGTACCATACTATGTATATATAAACGGGGCGTTTGTACAAGTAGCGCCAGCCCCCGGATACCAACCACAGCCTTATGGGTGTATGTCGGTATCCCCGCCTTACCAGCAACAACCACAACAAGTACAACAACTTCGACAACTCCAACAACACGTACCACCAGCGTATCAGCAACCTGTCCGCGAGGAAAAGGGAGGCGTCCCTCCACCACTGCCTCCGGTAAACACATAACTGTATGGTTATCATCGTCTTATCTGTTAGTTGCGTCACATGAGTTTCCAAAATTTAAAAACAAAAATGATTTGACGATTTCACAATCAATCATGTATGAAGCTCAGTAAATTTAAAGATTCATATTTTGAACATAATCTTGTTTTTTAATATCTGTAATTATCACCATTTTGCCTTTTCCTTACGAAGTCTCTTTTTGTTATAATGTCGTATTGCGGAGAGGTACAAGTTGAAAGTAAAAGTATATAGCATGTACCAGCGTTGCTAGAGCTGAATGCCAAATTTTATTCCGTTTCTTATCCCATTAATTTGCTGTTTTATTGGAAATCCGAGATTTATTTCAATGATGTAATACCAAAACCAATGTCAAATGAATGACCGAATGAAGTAAGGAAGTAATTCCAACAGAGTAGACAATATGAGGTTGTCAAACATTCGGAGCAATCAGCTCCAGGTACTTAAACCGTTTTCGAGTCCAGCTACTTTAATCGTATTCGAGACAAAGAAAAGAAAGAAGTCTTACATTACATAAAAACAAAAATATAGAAATATATTACGATATTACAATATTTGAACGGTATTAACCTCCAATACGGTCAGTTTAAAGATTTATCAACCCCCCAATCGGGATGATGAATCAGTAATTTGACTCTATTAACAATTATTAAGCTTGAATCCTTTCTCTAAATGGCTGCTTCTCCATTGCTTCGTTTATTTATTCGATAAATGTATGAATCAAGTTTATTATATTTGTGACTCTATCAATACTTTTAGATGAAACCATATGTGATGGTATGCGCCATAGACTTTGGTACAACATATAGCGGTTATGTTTGTTCCTGGACTGAAGAGTTCAAAGAGGATAAACTGCGGATGTTTTGTCGGACGTGGAAGGCCGAACAAGGCCAGACGGAGAAAACGCCTACTGTGGCCCTGTTTGACCCGGACATGAACTTTAAATACTTTGGTTATGAAGCTGAAGAAGGGTATGCAAACCTAAAACCCGATGAAAAAAAGCTGTGGTACCTATTTCAAAAATTCAAAATGAAACTCTATGAGGCTGAGGTAAGTTATGTGATTATTTTTAATATTTAAGTACTAGGGCATGCCCGTCTGTGTATTTTTTTATTCAATGAAAGATAAGTTCGATATCTAGTTTTAAGCGACAGTCATCGAGTAGTTGTAACTCGTATGGGAACCTTGTGGGAGATGATACAATACTGAAGTATATAAATCCATGTTCCTTAACAAAAAGTGACAAAGTTACAGCTTTTTTGTCCTGAAAATCAATAATATAATGCATTCTTAGGAAAAAAAAAAACATGGGCTGTTTGACATATTATTTCTGTTTTTCTTGAAGGAACTGGAACTACATATCCTGTGGAGAGCGTTACGCTCCACAGGATATGTAGATCAGCTACTGCTAGTCATTGCCGCAATGTACATGAAAACAAATCCATTCAATTAATATATTTTCTATACGATGAACTACAATAAAAAGTACAACATTTTTTGTAAATTGAATATGTTTTTACCTAAGTATCGGACAGAACTCCAGCTTACACACACACTTCAAATGTTCGAATTCCGCCGATCAGCTGATTTTGTTGAAACAAACATGTATGTCTAAAATCTAATAATAATTAACCAACACTTGATATTCCTTTCATTTTTGAACATTGATCTTATTTGATGTTATTTTGCTTTAAACACCGCATATTATAAGTTTATGTCTGCACTATTTCAAAGTTTAAATGATGCACTATTGCACTACAATATTTTTTAATTTGAAAAAACATTGTTATATTAAATACTGACTTCCGACTCGCAACCGATTCCTCGATCGTGGTAGCTACCTTTCTTACACCCAAACGTCCGGCTGGGTAACCCCCGTGACATCTTTGAAATGACACATGGCACTCGTCAGTGACATCATTGCAATCTTATAATAGCGTTTCCTAATTCATACATGTTACTTTATCGACACTTAACATTTAAAGGCATGTAGAAATACACAACTTATGTGAAGAGATCAAACAAAATATATTCCCAACAATTAATGTGGATCTATTGCCGAAAATGTTTGTTTCGACACATAGGTTGATGTCTAACACACTGAGTGAGTTAGAATAACGATAGCAAATATAGTTGTTTGTTTTTTTACAATAGCAAGTAGACTTGAGGCTGTGTAAGTACTTTTGATTACGTTACAAAAGCTAGAATAGTTGTTAAAATTGCAATGCTGCCCAAATTAAATAGTATGAATAGTTGCCTAAATTGCAATGCTGACATTGACAACACATAACGTTGTATGATTATTAATGTTTGTAATTTCACGATAACGCGTATACATGTTTATGTCGTGTTGAAAATATCACTGCTGCCCACTTTACGATAACACATTGTCTTAATGACTATATATTGTTGAATTAACGATCAAAGTGGTATTTATTTTACTGACAAATAGCCAGGGTAAACTTATTATTTCTTTTGCAGGATCTAAGCTTAGAAGCAACGTTGCGAGCATTCAACAGAAATGATGTCAAGCCAGCTGTAATAGTAATTGCAGAAATACTCAAATATCTGAAGGCTGATGTCCTTGCACAGGTCAAGCGGAGAGATTCCAAATCAATGGTGGCAACAGATATGATCCGATGGGTCCTCACGGTTCCTGCCATTTGGAGTGACAAAGCCAAGATTTTCATGAGAAGTGCCGCGGAACAGGTATAAAAGCGGAGTACATTTAACATCATTGTCTTCCATTCCTTAGATTTTGTTCACAGCTTCATAACTTTTATCATGTCCAAAATAGTGTAGCGTGTGAAGAAGGCGTTGTTCAGCTGCAGAAAATACACGGTTTGGATGCCGAAGTCAATTGACTATTGTCAATATGACGCTTGGCAGTCCGCTTCAAACAGTGCTGTGATCATTATCATCTCAATTGGCAAAGTGATCCAATTCCTTCAAAGCTGCTGTATTGCTTCATTGCCAATTAGCGCAAATGTGATGCAAACATATTACGTGCCTATTTGGTTTGTTAAGGTCCATGCTTACACATTTGGTGGTTGTTACAGCTAATTTAACGTGATACTTTCCTACGTTACAGGCTGGTATTGACAAGGAGGACCTGCTGCTGGCACTAGAACCGGAAGCTGCCGCCCTTTACTGCCGTCATATCAAAGTAGACATGACCGCTTCCGTTGTAGGTAGGACGGAGAACAAACCACTGAAATCGGAAACAAAATTCATGGTAGCCGACCTTGGAGGTCAGTTGGTATTTTTTCACCATAACGTACCTAGAATTAGAATGCCATTCTATATTAAAGTAAAGGGAACATTTACCGTCACTACATTGTCGATCATGAAGACACGTAGAGGCCTTATGGCTTCGAGTATCTTCCCTTCTATATAGGGGATGAAGCAACCAATAGGAGTGTTTTCTGTCTTATAGTCACTTCCAACGTCTAGTTCGTCAAAGGCTTTGTGGCGTTTAAATTGGACACTCGTATTGATGATGTAAAGTTTTAATTCCCGGATGACAACATTGGTAAAGCACAGACTCGTTGATGTACAGGTCCCCATATCGACCCCTGATGTTATTCATTTTTTATATTTTTGCATTTCTATTTTTAAAAATTCGAATCTCGAACAACTATAATTATGTAAAACGCACCGCATCATGTGATTGTTTTAGAATATATCTATTAAGAAGGGTTCAAATAAATAGTTCACAATATTTTCGGAGGCATGCTAGTCTAGTGGTAGGGCACTGGGCTCGTGACCGAAGGGTTTCGGGTTCGTGTCACGTCACGGCACTGTGTTGTATCTTTGAACAAGATACTTTGTTCCGCTTGTTCCAGTCTACTCAGCTGTAAATAAGTACGTCGTTGGGCAGTTCTAGAATTGTTGAATGCTAGCTGTGAGCGCCAAAATAGCAGCACCGGCTGTATGCTCCCCAGGGAGTTGAAAAAGATATTGGCTGGTTGCAAAGGCCCTATAACCACGGATAATAATTTATAACCGCTTTGGGACGACCTTCGAACTAGATTGTGATAAAACGGAATGTATGGATATCGAATTATTAATATTGTTTTATAATAAAAAAAAAAACAATGGTATTATTATAGTTTAAGTTGTTGGTACCATTTACCTTAAGACAAAAATGAAATATCTAATCTTAAACTAGTATAATAGTTTGGTTCAAAAGCAGCTGTACTTGCTTTTCTAAAACGATTTATTTGATTGCGATAAATTCTCGCATTTTCTTCTTCATAAGAATGTGACTTCAAAAATTGAGTAAGCGGACGATTCCGTTTCATGAGATAAAAGAGAAAGTAAACAATATGTTCAGCAATATTTTGTAGAGGCAATCTTACCCTCGTTTAGAGTTTCAGTTTCTTCTGAAACATAAAATCAAAATGACTTCTACATATACCAATATCTTTCAAACGTTTATTGCTAATAGATAAATGTCGAAATTAGATTTCTCGTAAAAATCATGATTGTTCTGCATGATGATTTTGAATACGAGGCACCCGACTCGGTTTATGTTTTAAAATGACGTTCATCTGGTCTCCGTGAACGTTTTCCTTTGGTTAGATTAACTTCAGTGATACACTCATGAATCTAACTACACATTATAAATAAGCCATATCTCCATGCCAGGTAACTGACCACATGTCAGAAGCAATTTGCATATAAGTCATGGACTAGGGCATGACACTAAGGTCATTACTCTTACAGCACATGGAAAAATAAAACATTTAAAGAAGACAAAAAGAAAGAAAAGTGACAAAAGAATTTTCTTTATTTTGTTTCATAATTTAAAAGTTTATAAGATTTCTTTTAAAAAGTAGTAAGAGGAAGCTTATTTCACAGCGATATCTGTTGACTGACTTGCAATACTGTTTTCAGAACTAAGAAAATAAACCAGGTGACTGCTTAAAGTGACTCTTAACGGTAAAGGTCCTACGATGGAGTATTAATATATTTTAATATATAGTCAATTGCTTCGTTGTGATGAGAAAACGTTGTCACATCGGAGATGAATTTGCTTCATAGTGGTGTTTTCAAGCATGTTCGATTGTTTAGCGTTTGTGCCCTATATGCTCTTACCAGATATTTTGATGGGTTTGACTTTGTTATCAGTGTCATTCAATTAATTTGGTTTCCATGTATCATTTAAGGAGGCACAGCCGACATCACTGTCTACAGAAAGACAGAAGGTGGAGCTCTTCGGGAGTTACATCCACCAACAGGCGGTCACTGGGGAGGCACAACAGTGGACGAAGCTTTTCAAAAGATGTTGGTAGCTATATTTGGAGGTGAAACCATCGACATAGCAAAAGAGGAATATCCCGGAGAAATGTTGAGTCTTCAACACAATTTTGAATGTGCCAAGAGATATTTTAATCCCAGTGAAAACGGTGAAGTATCTTTTAGAATCCCAGCAGTCCTAGGAGAAATACTAGAAAGATTGACGGGCCAGAGTATTCAGGAATACATGAAAGGCATCGGGCCATCTGGTGATGGAGTATCATTTATCGCCGATAAAATGTCCATCAGTAAAGTCAGATTTGAGAGTCTGTTTAGTACCTCGTTGGACAATATGATCCAGCATCTGAACGGTCTGATGGAGAACATCAATATCATGCCTCTGGATGCCGTTGTGCTTGTTGGTGGGTTCTCAGAGGCGAAGATCATAAGAAGCCGTTTTGAGGACTTTTTCAGCGAGACCAGATTCATATCACCGAACGACCCATCCATGGCCGTGTTAAAAGGAGCTGCCTTGTTCGGCCACGAACCGTTGGCAATCACCTCGCGGGTGTGTAAATATACATATGGTATTGCTGTAACAGTGCCATTTAAGGTCGAAAAACACGATGAAAAGAGAAGAGTCAAGATTGGTGACGATTTTTTTTGTGACGACGTATTCGATATTCACCTTCGGAAGGGAGAACCTGTTGCTGTAGGATCACAGCAAGTGGTGAAGAGGTTTTCGGCTCCTGTCAATCAAAATCATGTGATTGTAGAGGTGTATGCATCACCCGACAACAATCCAAAATATGTGTCGGAAGAAAAATGCATAAAGCTGGGTTCAGCAGTTGTAGCTTTGTCTGAGAAACACAAAAAAGACGACCCCATCGACGTTAAAATTATCTACGCGGGTACGGAACTTGAAGTCCAAGTGTTGGAAGTATCGGCAAATAAAATGTCCCGTGCAAAGGTCAAGTTTGTGGGATGAATGTTGTAGGGACCGAAACAACGACAGTTCAACATCTGGAAAACTTTGAATTTCCTTAAACCCGTTTAACTTTCGTCGCACAACAGTTTCACGACACGCCATAGATAGAAAATTGTGACAGACTTTTTAAAACTGCTGAGACGGCTTGCGAACAAAAATTCTGTCGTAGACCCTTGTCGTTAAGAATTGAACATGTTCTAAATCTTTTAAAGTTTTAAGTAATTAATGACGCCGAGCCTACCTTGTACGTCGTAATATGTCATATGACTGTATAACGACAGACGTACCAGTTTTATACAATATTGAATCCCAAACCCACGTCAGTCCTTTCTGTCGTTGCCCATTGAAAACGTCGTAACAAATGATAGGTTATATGTGAAAAGAATGTCAGCTTGTACAGTAACGATTCTTTGTGATTCAGGAAAATATCTGTCTATATTTGTGTTCAGCAAGGTCACCTTACTATAATCCCTATGTATGTTTATACTCGTAAGTGATCAAGTAGGCGGTATCACTGTTCGTTTTCCTATGTTCATGTGGCATTACAAGATGTACTAATGACGTCAGTAAAGCCATGTTCCAAAAGAAGGTTTAGATATCCTAGACGACCTCCTCGTTAAATGTACCATTTATTAAACTGTTTCTCGCTCTCTTTTTAACTAAGCTTCACAGCAAATGCATATACTTCAAGATATATGCTACCTTACTGTAACCGTTAATGTCTTTCCAGCATCCTCGATATTCAGGTGCTACGCTCACTTGCGATCTCTGCACGTCTGGAGTATGTCATAGTAAAAAGTCTCAGTGTGTGTCGCCTTGTGGATGACACAAGAAGTCTCGTTTGAGACTTTGATGTATCTTGTGGTCGCGTAACGGTAAAAGTAACTGGTTTTTTTTAAGTCGGGAGCTGATCCTCTGTGTTTGTCACAGGACAGTGATCAACCTAGTAATTGGTCAGGTTCTTTTTTATATATATATCTGAGACCAATTAGATAGCTAGCCGCGTGTCTTTCAATTTTGCTATGACATATTCCTGGTTTACAGAAATCGAAAGTGAGCGAAACTCCTAGATGCCTTTCCAGCAGCAACTCAAAATGATCAGATATCTAAATAAAAAATTGAGGTAACTCTAGTACAAGTGGCAGGCATACTGTTTAAGGGAGTATAATCATTTAATCTTATTTATTTATTTTTATTTTTATTGTATTTGTGTGTTCAATAAAATCGTTGCAAACCATATGAATCGAAAGTCATCTAGAAATCACTTAAGTATCCTTTTCCCACTGCACTGTTTTTCGCAATCAGTAACCTCTCCTTAATTTTGTTTTGGATGCAACTGTAACACAGTTAAGCCTCGTCTCTTACGTTTGGCCAGGTAGCTCACGCGGTTAAAGCGGCAGTTTTGCAATCAAAATAGCTATGTCCACACCGAAATTAAGGGGAAGTTTATCATTTACTGTTAAATAATTATAACCAGAAATAGCCGGAATTTCGTTGTTGTTGCTACAGCTGATGGTCAGTTTTCTCATGGACCGTGACAATGCAAATTTGTAGGGGTCAAAGGCGTCATCAAAACCGTAATATGACATAGAAAGGGAAATTACATAAAGACATAAATAAAGGAAATATGTATATAGAGACCATTGAAAAGTACAACGAGAATAGACCGGATGTTCCCGAAGGCTAACTAAAAAAAGTTCATTTTCGCCAGGACCGGATCTATATGCACATTGGCTTAACTCTTTTTGTAATGTGCTATTCCTTACACTAGCCACACAGCAAGCCATACTCGGTATACAAAGGGCAAATGACAACCTGTAATACCAGTGTGATAGGAAGTAGGCCGTATATTCACAAAATGACATAAAATACAAACATGTATGTGTAGTCATTCTGCAATATCCAATAGAGAGTATATGACCATTATAGGAGGTGGGATGGGGGGGGGGGGGGGCAAAAACCGCCCGTCCCTTATTAAATATATTCAGTCTATAATAGTAACCCTTACCCTCAATCTCTAATAGTATACGATCTTTAATAGTGACTATATGACTAATATGACTATTCTAAGAAGTAACATGAGGGGATGGAGGCGGGAAAAAAATAACAAAAGTTCTTACATTTGGCCTCTGACAAAATTTGTTCAAGTGACGCTATCACCTGCCACGTGACGCGTATGCTTGCATGCAATGCGGTAAACCGGTCATGGTATATTTTAAATAATTGATACAGAGGCAAAACCACGAAGTCAATTCGCATATAAAAACACTTCTACACAAAATACGCAAATATACACTATTAATGCTATTAAATTCACTTTGTATTTAATTATTATTTTATTTTCCCAGTAAGAAAGCATAAGTCGTCTGCCACGTAAACTCCAAGACAATGAATGTCAAAGTGTGGATCATGGTTTGAATGGCAAAGCAATTATCTTGATAAAAGCATTTTGTAGATTGAGATAAGTACAATAGATATGTTCAGATAAGAATTTGATTTAAAGAAAAGTGTAATGTAGCTTTCTTATTGCGATGGGCCTGATAAAAGAGATAAATAAAAAGGGAAGATTTCTGGGATAGAGTGTGTAATCTCATCAAAAAGGGAGATCACGTGGCGGAGAAATAAAAATCACAGGGACAAGTCTGATTTCTCGTTGGTCATCTATTACATGAAAAACAAAACGTGGCACATTTTCGACTGTTTGAAAACCAGCATAATCGAGGGAGTGATAATAAAAACAAGTCGCGTTGCTGAGACTGATTGGTATTGCTGATACATAATACAGGAGTATGTACAAGGGACAGGAAATGGTAAAAAGTGAATTGTATGGTTACCATATAAGACGTGTAACAGCATACAATAACAGTAGGTTTATGAAATCTCCATACATACTGTATGGTAACCATATAACACGTGTAACAGCATACAATACCAGTAGGTTGATGAAATCTCCATACATACTGTATGTTAACCATATAAAACGTGTAACAGCATGCAATACCAGTAGGTTGATGAAATCTCCACACATACTGTATGGTTACCATATAAGACGTGTAACAGCATACAATACCAGTAGGTTTATGAAATCTCCATACATACTGTATGGTAACCATATAAAACGTGTAACAGCATACAATACCAGTAGGTTGATGAAATCTCTAAACATACTGTATGGTTACCATATAAGACGTGTAACAGCATACAATACCAGTAGGTTGATGAAATCTCTAAACATACTGTATGGTTACCATATAAGACGTGTAACAGCATACAATAACAGAAGGTTGATGAAATCTCCATACATACTGTATGTTAACCATATAAAACGTGTAACAGCATACAATACCAGTATGTTGATGAAATATCCATACATACTGTATGGTTACCATATAAAACGTGTTACAGCATACAATAACAGTAGGTTGATGAAATCTCCATACATACTGTATGGTTATAATATTATTAAGTATAAGCAGGTCATAAACATTCTTAGACACCATAAATAGCGTAGGAGAGGCATAAGTTCAGTTTTAGTTGTTATTTAATGCCTCACAGCATAACATCAAATCAAAGTAAACAATTGTGAATCAAATTAATTGTAGGTATACATTCTTAAACAGCATAAGAATAGCGTATGAGTTGAATCATTTCAATAATTATGTTAATCAATGAATCATAACATTAAATAAAATTTAAGTGTACTGTTTAAAAAGCAAAGGAATCGCATGACAAGGGAAAGAAATATTATATCACGGTAACGTTAATGCACAAGACAATCATGCATACTGGTCGCACAGCTGACCGAGGTCGAGGTTCAAATGTTTCTTTTTATCATTGCTGTGTCGACCCGACCTACTAACACTTTGACTATCTAACTAGTAATCACATGGTATTGGTCCTTGGACGACATAAGGTGATATATAGGATATTGGACACTATGGCCGGGTGAGTACAACCGTTTATTGTCGGAATTTAAATTGTACTGAGGGTGTCGATCTTATGGTCAATACGTATCCCTAAGAAAGAACTCCAAGTCATATTTGTTCCGTTGATGATACGGTTTACTAAAAAATACCAAAAGTACGAAGTTACAAGTAAAAATACACAGATAATTGACAAAATAATTGTTTTTGGACTTATTCTTTGTTTTACATCATTCAACTAGCAGAAAATGATAGTCATATGATTATGGTGGCTGCTATATGACATTTCGTCTTTTCGTTTTATCGCTCGCAAAATAGCGCCAAGCGAAATAACGAAATAACGCCAAAGCGCCTAAGAGAAAAGACGAAATAACGCCAAAGCTAAATAACGAAAAGACGAAAAACCTCGCCAAAGCGAAATAACGAAATAACGCCAAAATGAGGGAGAAAGACGCCATTTTATCTTTTCGCTTTGACGTTATTTTCACTTCGGTTTGGCGTTATTTCGTTATTTCGCTTTTGCGGGTTTTCGTCTTTTCGTTATTTAGCTTTGGCGCTTTGGCGCTTTGGTGATATTTCGTCTTTTCGCTTTGGCGTTATTTCGTTATTTCGCTTGGCGTTATTGCGCGGGCGACCATACTGTATGGTTACCATATAAAACTGTAACAGCATACAATAACAGTAGGTTGATGAAATCTCCATACATACTATATGGTTACCATATAAAACGTGTAACAGCATACAATGACAGTAGGTTGATGAAATCTCCATACATACTATATGGTTACCATATAAAACGTGTAACAGCATACAATGACAGTAGGTTGATGAAATCTCCATACATACTGCATGGTTACCCTATAAAACGTGTAACAGCATGCAATACCAGTAGGTTGATGAAATCTCCATACATACTATATGGTTACCATATAAAACGTGTAACAGCATACAATACCAGTAGGTTGATGAAATCTCCATACATACTGTATGGTTATAATATCATTAAGTATAAGCAGGTCATAAACATTCTTAGACACCATAAAATAGGGTAGGAATGGCATAAGTTCAGTTGTCGTTGTTATTTTATGCCTCACAGCATGACATCAAATCAAAGTAAACAATTGTGAATCAAATTAATTGTAGGTATACATTATTAAACAGCATAAGAATAGCGTATGAGTGGAATCATTTCAATAAATATATTAATCAATGAATCATAACATTAAATAAAATTTAAGTGTACTGTTTAAAAAGCAAAGGAATCGCATGACAAGGGAAAGAAATATTATATCACGGTAACGTTAATGTACAAGACAATCATGCATACTGGTCGCACAGCGGACCGAGGTCGATGTTCAAGTGGGTTTTTTTTATCATGTTCAAATGGTCTTTTATCATTGACAAATAAATGCTGTGTCGACCCGACCTACTAACACTTTGACTATCTAACTAGTAAGCACATGCTATTGGTCCTTGGACGACATAAGGTGATATATAGGATATTGGACACTATGGCTGGGTGAGTACAACCATTTATTGTCGGAATTTAAATTGTACTGAGGTTGTCGATCTTATGGTCGATACGTATCCCTGAGAAAGAACTCAAAGTCATATTTGTTCCGTTGATGATACGGTTTACTGAAAAATACCAAAAGTACGAAGTCACAAGTAAAAATACACAGATAATTGACAAAATAATTGTTTTTGGACTTATTCTTTGTTTTACATCATTTAACTAGCAGATGTTTCACTAAACTGCAATATTCTCTGAGGGAAAATGATAGTCATATGATTATGGTGGCTGATATATGACATTTCGTCTTTTCGCTTTGTCGCCCGCGAAATAGCGCCAAGCGAAATAACGAAATAACGAAATAACGCCAAAGCGCCAAAGAGAAAAGACGAAATAACACCAAAGTGAAATAACGAAATAACGCCAAAATGAGGGAGAAAGACGCCATTTTATCTTTTCGCTTTGGCGTTATTTTCACTTCGGTTTGGCGTTCAGTATAATTTATTACCAAATCAACACTAATAATATTCACTGTATTTTTTTTTTTATAAAATTAATACTATTCACATTCAACATATTTTATTCGATTGTTTTTAATATTTCTTGAATAAGTATTCAGAATTGCGAAACATTGAGTCATATTAGAATGAAGAGAAACATGATATATTCTATCTCTTATTTTAACACAAAAGAGTCAAAATAGCATTAATTCTGTTTACTACTTTGTACTAATCATTCATTCTGTAAATGAGAATTATGCCAACAGTCGCCCTCGATCTAAGCCTTAGGGCTGAGCACTTCAGGGAGTGAACGGTCCCTGATGAAAGGTTATACCCGAAAGCTTAGATCGAGAGTGACTGTGATATTTACATGTATGTAAGTACGTTCCCTGTAGGAACTTTGTGATAGACAATTAGTTCTACATATTGATGCTAAAATATTATCATTCACGTGTATCCATTCAAAAAAACCTAAACAAATACCATAATATAACACAGATATGTAAGGTGCCCTGTGTGTATTATGGAAGCACGGATTTCTAATACATTGTACATGTGTAAGAGTTTTCCAATGGATCATCGCGCATATTTCAAAATCACATGCTAATTTTCCTTGCAGTTCGATAGTGACACCGGGTAGAATGGTTGGAAACACAGTATTTTCTTAATCAGTCAACACAGAGAATACGAACTGTTTGTAGTAACACGGATACAAAGGTCTTCTAAAGTTATCAAAATTTACTCTTAACTACTCATTACAGTTACTGAATGTTTAGCACAGTCCACTTAAGCAATATAATATATATCTATCAAATACAGATTATATAGGAGTTTCTAGATTAATTACACAAGTTGTAAACCCCTACTTCCACCAAACGTGTAAAATCAAATGAAACAAAAAATCAGGTCTTGTATTTGAAATGAATATAAAAGTAATTTTCAGAATATTGCAAAAGCTTATTGATCACATTAAAGTATCTCTTTACAACGTTTTCTGGAAAAAACACTTTCCTTTAAGTCGGGAGCTGATCCTCTGTGTTTGTCACAGGACAGTGATCAACCTAGTAATTGGTCAGGTTCTTTTTTTATATATATATATATCTGAGACCAATTAGATAGCTAGCCGCGTGTCTTTCAATTTTGCTATGACATATTCCAGGTTTACAGAAATCGAAAGTGAGCGAAACTCCTAGATGCCTTTCCAGCAGCAACTCAAAATGATCAGATATCTAAATAAAAAATTGAGGTAACTCTAGTACAAGTGGCAGGCATACTGTTAAAGGGAGTATAATCATTTAATCTTATTTATTTATTTTTATTTTTATTGTATTTGTGTGTTCAATAAAATCGTTGCAAACCATATGAATCGAAAGTCATCTAGAAATCACTTAAGTATCCTTTTCCCACTGCACTGTTTTTCGCAATCAGTAACCTCTCCTTAATTTTGTTTTGGATGCAACTGTAACACAGTTAAGCCTCGTCTCTTACGTTTGGCCAGGTAGCTCACGCGGTTAAAGCGGCAGTTTTGCAATCAAAATAGCTATGTCCACACCGAAATTAAGGGGAAGTTTATCATTTACTGTTAAATAATTACAACCAGAAATAGCCGGAATTTCGTTGTTGTTGCTACAGCTGATGGTCAGTTTTCTCATGGACCGTGACAATGAAAGTGTGTAGTGGTCAAAGGCGTCATCAAAACCGTAATATGACATAGAAAGGGATATTACATAAAGACATAAATAAAGGAAATATGTATATAGAGACCATTGAAGAGTCAAGGAGAATAGACCGGATGTTCCCGAAGGCTAACTAAAAAAAGTTCATTTTCGCCAGGACCGGATCTATATGCACATTGCCTTAACTCCTTTTGTAATGTGATATTCCTTACACTAGCCACACAGCAAGCCATACTCGGTATACAAAAGGCAAATGACAACCAGTAATACCAGTGTTATATGAAATAGGCCGTTTATTCACAAAATGACATAAAATACAAACATGTATGTGTAGTCATTCTGCAATATCCAATAGTGAGTATAGGACCATTGTAGGAGAGGGGGGGGGGGGGGGGGGCAAAAACCGCCCGTCCCTTAAATACTTGTTGTTAGTATACAATCTCTAATAGTAACCCTTACCCTCAATCTATAATAGTATACGATCTCTAATAGTGACTATATGACTAATATGACTATTCTAAGAATTAACATGAGGGGATGGAGGCGGGAAAAAATTAACAAAAGTTCTTACATTTGGCCTCTGACAAAATTTGTTCAAGTGACGCTATCACCTGCCACGTGACGCGTGTTCTTGCATGCAAAGCGGTAAACCGGTCATGGTATGTTTTAAACAACAGATACAGAGGCAAAACCACGAAGTCAATTCGCATATAAAAACACTTCTACACAAAATACGCAAATCTACACTATAAATGCTATTAAATTCACTTTGTATTTAATTATTATTTTATTTGCCCAGTAAGAAAGCATAAGTCGTCTGCCACGTAAACTCCAAGACAATGAATGTCAAAGTGTGGATCATGGTTTGAATTTCAAAGCAATTATCGTGATAAAAGCATTTTGTAGATTGAGATAAGTACAATAGATATGTTCAGATAAGAATTTGATTTAAAGAAAAGTGCAATGTAGCTTTCTTATTGCGATGGGCCTGATAAAAGAGACAAATAAAAAAGGAGAAGATTTCTGGGATAGAGTGTGTAATCTCATCAGAAAGGGAGATCACGTGGCGGAGAAATAAAAATTGCAGGGACAAGTCTGATTTCTCGTTGGTCGTCTAATACATGAAAAAAAAACGTGGCACATTTTCGACTGTTTGAAAACCAGCATAATCGAGGGAGAGATAATAAAAACAAGTCGCGTTGATGAGACTGATTGGTATTGCTGATACATAATACAGGAGTATGTACAAGGGACAAGAAATGATAACTCTGGTGAGCTATTGTTACGACAAAAAAAGGCAAAAAGTGAATTGTATGGTTACCATATAAGACGTGTAACAGCATACAATAACAGTAGGTTGATGAAATCTCCATACATACTGTATGGTTATCATATCAGACGTGTAACAGCATGCAATACCAGTAGGTTGATGAAATATCCATCCATACTGTATGGTTATCATATAGGACGTGTAACAGCATACAATAACACTAGGTTGATGAAATCTCCATCCATACTGTATGGTTATCATATAGGACGTGTAACAGCATACAATTCCAGTAGGTTGATGAAATCTCCATCCATACTGTATGGTTATCATATCAGACGCGTAACAGCATGCAATACCAGTAGGTTGATGACATATCCATACATACTGTATGGTTGCCATATAAGACGTGTAACAGCATACAATTCCAGTAGGTTGATGAAATCTCCATCCATACTGTATGGTTATCATATAAGCCGTGTAACAGCATACAATAACAGTAGGTTTATGAAATCTCCATACATAATGTATGGTTATAATATCATTAAGCATAAGCAGGTCATAAACATTCTAAGACACCATAAAATAGCGTAGGAGTGGCACAAGTTCAGTTTTTGTTGTTGTTTAATGCCTCACAGCATAACATCAAATCAAAGTAAACAATTGTGAATCAAATTAATTGTAGGTATACATTCTTAAACAGCATAAGAATAGTGTATGAGTTGAATCATTTCAATACTTATGTTAATCAATGAATCATAACATTAAATAAAATTTAAATGAATAAATAAGTATTATATCACGGTAACATTAATGCACAATACAAGCATATACATACTGTTGTGGAGTTATACTCACTGAATCCGGAACTGATGGTCATATGCATACTGTTCGCGCAGCAGACCTGAGGTCAAAGGTCAAAATTGTCATCTTTAAATAGACGATAAGGGTATAGTATCGTACGTACAGGTAAATTTATGCGATCTTTCGACACAGCCGGTTACCTGCATCAAGTGTTACCTTTACTGCTTGCGTGTACATATTCAAACAGTTTGTGAAAATTTGAGATAGTTGTGGAGTCATCGCTTTAGCAATATTGAGGTCGCGGGGAGGTTTGTCGGGTAAAGTATATGAACAGGCTGTTTCGACCCGACCTATTTACACTGGAACTATCTAACCAGAACTCACACGGTGTTGATCCCTGAACGACATTAGCTGAGATATAGGATCCGAAAAACATTATGTCTGGGTGAGTACAACCCTTTATTGTCGGAAATTAAATAATATCACTCGCTCACAAATACAAACCCACACATTTATAAGTATGCAGGCATGTGTGTACGTGTTTAGAACGTAATGCTTTGTGTTATACGTGTGTTGATATACATTTGGCAACGAGTCTGAAGGGAGGTAACCGTGCGTTTTATTTGATATACGTTACAGTAGGTAGAGTATAGTAAAGCTAATATTACTATGCTGCGCCCAGGCCGGGACATAATAGGACCGGGCGGAATGCTGTGCTTGGTGTCCTCGGCATGGCATTTCAGTGAGATAGCACTATAAAGTCGGCATCAGATCCGCTCTATCACTAGGAGGCAAGCACACCAACATACCATGTCTCCTGCATACACACACACGCAAACACGCATACACTAAACACATAGAGCTACGTCCTTAAATGACCTTAGCTGTTAATAGGAGGTTAAACATTTAACCAAACTAAAATTACAAGTCTACAAGTTGTTTCATTGCAGGTAGTATCCCACAAGTCTAAAGAGCTCTGATATACATATGTAGCCTATGATGTATCCTTTGGATTTCATATAGTTTGAGGATAGGTTCCTCCTCTTCAATATATTAATCCTCGGCTTTAAAATTGAACACATTGATTAGATATAGTCATATGTTTTATAAAATTCGCAGGACTACAAAAGTATGATTCACAGTCAACGTTTGAGGTACAACATGTGCATGCCCTTTATTTCTAACGCTTTACATTTATATATTAACGCTCCATATTTTCCTGTCTCAATGTCAAGTTTGATGTAAGTATTTTATTCCTAATGAATCTTGTGTAGCTAGTGTTACATCCCCATAGATGACACGACAGCTTCCTAACCTAACGAACCGTTACTTCACCTAAGCTATGAGACCAACTGATAAACTCTTGGCTACTGTTGTCAAATTATATATTGTCTTGATTTGAATATAGCGCAGGGCATAGTAGCATAAGCACAACATTACCTTGAATTAGCAACAGTGTGTGTTTATAACCAAAACCTCAGAAGAACAGAAGCTAAGTAAACAGTGTTCTGTTTTTGAAGATGAACTCTTTAAATTCAGGTGTAGTTAAAATTCACAATGATGACAATTCTACATTAAACGAATAAACAAACGTGAACAGTTACTACTAGAGCTGAAGTGAATGGGCTCGGAATCATTATAATAGAATGAAGAAAAAGAAATGAATATTTGCCACATTCAATGTTTTTTGTAGTTTTTCCATATAAAATATTTCTATGTGTTTTATTGAGTCCATTCCAGTAGAATTTCTCAAATTCAATAAAAAAAGTCAAGTTATAAAATGTTCAATAGATTTATGTACAAATTCTCTGGAGATGTATACACTAGTGATCATGTAAAGACGGTAAATAGTATAAACACTGACCATGTGGTGACCATGTGGTAGCTGTGTATAGCCACGTTAAGCCCCGCCCACTCTCTTATCAGCTAATTGCTAACCACCCGTTTGTTTTTATGTAGGTCGTCCCCTTAAGGTGGTATGTGAAACTAAATCCAAACTCACTTTTTAATATGTGCGGTGACATATATGGAACCATAAGGTAACTGTTACCTGACTTTTTTTTATTTCTGCTAAATATTCTACTAAAAAAGTGAAGAAAGACATCCCTTGAAATCACCCCTTTACACTGGTGCCTGCTCAGTGATGTGAACAACCGGATGTTATCTATAAAGTGACTTTATTATGAATGTGGTACTTTGTTATCATAGGGCTTAAGAGGCATACGCTATCCGCAGGACACACAGTGTCAATCGAAGCATAAAAGTTACACAATTTCGAGGATTCGATGTACATACGTGGGTTACGCTAGTAAACAAGAGAAGCACGAATGTCCAAACACACATTTGCCTGGTTATCATACATTTATATTTACTTAACCATTACAATGCCTTCCTCACAATTTCAGTTCCCATAGATCAGCTAAGATATGCATCTGTAGAAAATCTCTCCAATCTGTCTTTATGGCTCTTGAAGCACGAACTCATCTGTAATATCACAATGTGTGGTAAGGTGGCGCAGTGGACCACAGGCTCGATTCCCTGATCGGACGTGAAAAGGTTTTGGGTCATCTGCCCAACCATGTGGGTTTCTCCGGGTTCTCCGGTTGCCTTCCTCATTAGGACCTTCTGTGCGCTTCCATCTGATCAATACAGGTTGAAATAACTTGTTGCATAATGGTTCTAAAACATTCATAATATCAAAATGGTGTAATATGTAAAGTACATGACAAATATCTTTAAAGAAAGTGAAAAATGCTATGACAACTTGTTGTACATGTCAAGTTTTCATGACAAGCCTAATGAACCACACACACACGAGTAGCAGTCATTATACTTACTAAAATGCCAAGACACATTATAAACATGGATGGGGAATTGCATTAGCACCTATCCAGATCGGTTTCCAACACTGATGACACCCAGAAGACATACATCATTCCACCTTAATATCTTTTCCAGAAAGACGTTACTGGCCATACACGACGTGAACAGCATGACGTTCGAACAGTTCACAACTGTGTTTGGTAATGTTGTGGAGCATTGTTCGCTGTGTGCGGCCGCTGTGTGGCAGCACCGTCCGTTTACGGACGTGGATCACATACACCAGCTCATATGTGATGTCCTCGACAACTTCCCAAACGACGGTAAGTCATGGACGTGTGACTTCACGTTAAATACGGTAACAGACGTGTGCATGTAGGTAACACGGGTTTTAATTACTCAAACGGATATATTATTACCCGAGATAAGATCACGATTCTTGTGAAATTTGAATCTGAAAATAACCTCACTATTACTGAATGTTAGACCCAACCACTTACCTTGTATATGTGACGCAATCACTAGGTAAAAACATTCGTATCATTCCTTGTAACACGGACTTCACTTCAAGCAGATTAGAATAGGGATGTAAAGATAAGAATCTGATAACAAAAAGTTGTTCATTTTCTTCTAGCTAAGCAAGGGGTACTCTGCTTACATCCGGATCTTGCTGGGAGCGTCGCGGGCCTGACATCGGAGTCGCAAAACGAACAGAAAGCTGCTGGGATCGATAGCCTTACACAGGATGAAAGGGCGAAAATGCAAGAAAGAAATACAAGCTACCGGGAAAAGTTTGGTTTTCCCTTTGTCATATGTGCCCGGAAAAACAAAACGCAGGCCATTTTAGACGGTTTGAAGCTCCGATTGCAAAACAACATCGAGGAGGAAGTGAGGAATGGCGTGGAGCAAGTAAAAGAGATAGCTCTGCTGAGACTGTTTTCTATTGTTGAACACTGATGATATTACCGAGATTGTTTTATTACTTTTGAGCAGTGACTGATTACGGAGACTGATTTTTTTTTTATAATTGAACACTTATATAACATTACAGACTGTTTGGTAATATTGATCATTGATAGCATCGATCAGTCTGATTTTTTGAAACATTGTTTAAAAATCAGTATAAAATTCACAATATTTTTGTAAAGTAGAAACCAAAGTAAAACGCGTATGTATGCCCTTTTTGTTTGTTACAAACCTCATGACAAGTTAGAATCATATCACATAACAGGATAATATGAAACTAGTGGATTCGAATTAACGGTGTACGTACTTGATACATAATATTTACCTTCAACGAAATATAAGGGTCTGGTGGATAGAGATCTTTTAGTCTGAAGGAAGCTTTTGTGTAGAGTATGTTTAAGTCTAGATGTATGTTTGACATACCGCTTTAAGAAATAGACGTAAGATGTTTGTGCGACGTGACGTATGAGACACCAACATTATCCACTAAGTAAGCTCTGTATTTGTTTCTGGATTTGTTCTTGTAAATTTAAAAAGAGTCGGTAAAATCTGGATTGAACTTTACAATCTACTTGTCTGTCTATGATTTTACTTTTAAATGTACAATATAAACCCGATAATGCTACTTACTGATCGTTGTCTTTTGTTCGGAACAATTGAATTACTCCCATTCTTAAAAATACGTGTGAAATATTCGAGCTTCCCCAACGCAGGGAGTACTAACTTCCATCGCCTTGTTGAACTGTCGTTGAGAAGGAATAATGTTGTATTTGTAGATGTAGATATGGATGACATTAAATGATAATCATCAGTAGAAAACTGTTCAATTAAATAGACATTCAAAAGTTGTGAAGTAATTTTTATATCGTGAAGCAATGATTATATTCGGAGACTTCTTTTTATATTTTCTAGTACAAGTCGAGTCTTCCGGACTGAAAATAATTTTATAAATTGTGTTCATTTACTAACATAATCAAAATAAAATATCAGATTAATTTGATTTTATTCTTAATTATTCTTGTGTTTTTTTAATTTCTGCTGAGATGAGACCTAAATTGAAAAAATAAATATTCGTATGTCATCACCATATCCTTACAACTGCAAATTTGTCATTGCAAATGGTGGCAGATATTGATGAATGCTATAACCACATCTGGAAAATGAGAGGAGATGGAAGAGGCAATGATTTTGAAAATCAATAAAGCACCTTGTTTAAAAAGCTTACCTTTCAAAGATTTACCAGTGAGCTTAACAGAGCAATTAATAAAACTTCTCGACATGTTTCAAATCCTAACCATGGACCTAGCCATAGCAATAAGGTAATATGGGGCCAAATAATAGCGAAATTGGTACTGTATACCGTTGGAGCAATGGAGTAAAATACTGGACATAAAGAGTTAACACAGAAAAATCCATGTACTCAAACTGTTGTCATGGACGCAGCAGATCAAGGATTTCCAGTGAGCTTAACAGAGCAATTAATAAAACTTCAAATCCTAACCAAAGACCTAGTCATAACAATAAGGTAATATGGGGCCAAATAATAGCGAAATTGGTACTGTATACCGTTGGAGCAATGGAGTAAAAATACTGGACATAAAGAGTTAACACAGACAAATCCATGTACTCAAACTGTTGTCATGGACGCAGCAGATCAAGGAGGACAGAAGAAACCCGATTCTGAAGGGATATCTCCATTTATTGCCTCTTATCATCATATAGCTTGATATTGCAGGCATGTCTTTTCTGAATAAGCAGTTGTAACGTCATCAAGAGGCGCATTTAATACGACAAAAGAGTATAGATAGCAAGTAATAAGGTGAAACAAAAAAACAGTTAATGCATGGAATGCTAGCCTGGCGATGAAGCAAATAAGCACATCGAGGTACTTACTATAAATCGCTTTGACCAAAGTATACTTATATTTGAATCGAAGTCAATCAATTGTATCCAATGTTCTAACAATTCTAAGCAATGGTTTTCAATGCTCCATAATATTGCTACAATGAACAATATATACTAACACTTGTGCCTATTTATGAAGGTCATTTATAATAACACCTATACTAGATCGTTATCTCGGCTAACTACATGTCAAATAGCACGCTTTTTGGACCATAATGGTTATTACGAGGCAACATTTGACCGCTGTGACCTTGAATGAAGGTCCGTATCGTTTATTTGCTCGCTAGTGACTTTGGCTCTTGGTTAATTATTTTGTTTTGATTTTCCTTAGCTGTCATAATTACGTGCAGTGTTATACTAGAGTAATTCTAGTTTTTCATTTAGATAAGATTGATCTAGATTTTAATTGCCATGTAACCAAAACCTATTGAATTATGATATATTACCTGAATTGGATCTTTGTCAAATATCTGTAGTTATTGCATTCTAATAATATTTATCTGAGTTGTGCAAAGCTTGCTTTTCTTTCTGTTTAATATTGTTCAATATAACTGTAAAAATATTATATAAAAAATCCCGTTTTATAGTTTAAGGGGTATTTTTATATACAAATTGTAATACACGTAGTTTTATTAATAAAACGTCACACTCTTGTGCTATAGACGTATCAACACGTAATTTCTTAAGCGGCCTCAAAGTGTTATGTCAAAGGTCATGGGGGAAAAACCGCTTATGCGCTAGCAAAAACTTGCATGCCGGCCAATTAGGAGTCCTTTGATACGATTACGATTTCTTTATTTAAACGATATATCCACACTGAAAAATTATACGATCATCGAGTACGATATCAGGTACATCTATTCTTTTGGGAAAATCTTCAATGTTTGGCACTTACATCGTAATAAATCAGCGATCATGCAATTTGTTGGAGGGTCGCCCGCAGATGCTGAGAGTGAGATGGGTGTGTCAGTTTACATTTACATTTATACTGCAAAGGACCGTCGAACAGCATCAACTTGCAGGTAGCCTTGTGTGGTGTGGCTTCCACATGAGTTCGTTAAAAACTGGTTAAAAAGTTAAAACTATTTACAGGATCCACATTCACTCTGCAAGATGACTGGAGCGAGGTCTTGAATGCCTCAGTTCTCCCCAGTAACTGGTGGATTGGGGTATTTATCGGACAAGTCAATCAAATAGATTATTTTTCCTTTCTCCGATACATCATCTTTAAACCTGTTTCTGGTATACTTAACTTTGACCTTTTCCAGCCGATACAGGAAAAAATTCAAAGCATTCTTTAAATTTGCCATCCTGAAAATTAACGTCAAAAACGACGATGATGTCGTTTTTCCACTTTCCGTTTGGCAAATATTAACGTTAATGTAACCTCATCGTTTCTCAACGATAACAAAGGAATCGTTTATACGCCTTGTCAAACTTGTGCTAATGTAATTTCGTCTCAGATTGTGTCATAAATAACGTCATCAAGTTTTTTGAGTAAAATATAAATTTTCATTGGGGCCTGTATAGGGGTATTATTGGACAAGCAATGTTGGAAAGTCATTTTTGTACTGGTTATAACTTGGAAAACCACATGAGTGCATCTCACAATAGCTGATACATAACAAATAAAATAAAAAAAAGTAAGTATAAATGTGTATTTTCTGTAGATTAATCAGGGATGGACACTAACTTTTTTGCTTGGTAATCCACAGGGCTAGTTGAAAAGATTATTTACTAGTCCTTTGTCAATGTAAAGTTCTATAAGGTTTCCTGATCAGGAAACATTGTGATCTACAGCATGAAATATCAAAAGAAGACTTAATATAGCTACTGCCATACAAATATGGTTAAGTTAAAGGATTTTTTTTGACAATTATCATGCAATATTTAAAACATTTTTCTAAATTTTAGAAAGTAATATTGTTATTTTATAATCATATTTTTCACAAGTCCAAAGGTCCAGTTCGGTGATTCACTGGTCCTTGCTGAAATCAACTAGTCAAGGACTAGTGGACTAGTGTGACCAAGACTCGACCCCTGTTAATTGTGCATTGGTAATGAATCAGGAAATAAAATAGTTTAGTATTTGAAGGGGGCATGGCTATATTCAATCTTGAACTTGCTGTTCATGACATGGAGTAATTACAAGCACCTTAACACAGGAAAGTTTCTTGTCAGCATTAATTCTGGACTCATCAATTTTGCGGCAAACAAGTGACAAACATATCACTACATACTCTGGGTTTCTTGACATATTTGAACGATATGATTCGGTCATGGCAGATAGGGGGTTTATATTCGAGAAGAGTTGGGCAGAACTGTTTATACCTTCAGGGTGTAGGAGAGCTTCTCAAATGTCAAGAGCTGAAGTGAATCTTACAAAGGCCATTGCAAATCAAGAGAATTTACATTGAACATGCAATCAGATGAATAAAAACCTTCAGGATCCTCAAATTTGAGGTACCTCTTACTCTTGTGCACCACTTGGATGATATTGTTAAAGTGGTTGCTGGAAGTTGTAATATGCATCCATCTCTACCGAAGTATAAGTAAATAGTAATTTTATCAGCAGCACCAGAACCTGTTCCTCGATATATCCCACTATTGCTTTTTCATGATCATCCAAACTTTCAATGTTTACAAATTAATGTTGTGTTTATATATCAGTCGCTAGTTCACCTGCCCTAGCACTGTGTTGTCAAATATAATCCAGTTTTGATATATGTGAGCCAAACTTTTACTCTTAAGATCCACAAAGCTTCAACTCTTCTTTAACAAAAGTACCAGGTATTTTAGGGCTGTAATAATATATTGATATGTGTATCACAATATTTTGTTTAGAGAACATTTATCCAGTGATACATATGTGTATTTATATTTAATAATTTGTAATTAAAAGTGCAAAATTTGGAACATGAAATTAGTCACATTCTCAGGGTCTATATGCACATTGACACTGCTAGGATCAAATTACAATGTACTGCAAATATTTCTAAGGATCCCCAATAATTAAATATAGTGTGAAACACTTATCAGACATACAACTGTGCGTGGGCGGTGTCTGGTCAATCGTGTCAATAGTTCGGTTGATCTGATAATAGTAGAAATATGACCAGCACGGAGACCTGGCTCTCCGGATGATTGATCAGGCAAATGGAAACTGAACAGGTCTTTCTTAATATTCCAGCCCAAAAAAAGGAAAATTTACAATTATCTTAATACCTACTGTATCCATCTCTCCCAATACTCTCTCTGAACCTTATTGAGTTATTGGTAATACTTGGACATGAAATTGTGCAAGTATGGTTAAAATATAAAGCACATTCTATCAAGAGTTCTTATAGAATATCAATTAAGCAAGAATATAATAATATATATATTATATATACATGCAATATAATGTGGCAGTCAAACCAACTGTACATTTTCGACTTGCATACAAAACTAACCTCATATATTTATTTTTAGGCCTAAACAAGGCTTTTATATTTTGCCTAACTTGCAAAGTCTGTACTTTAAACTCTCAAACTCTGCCAATAACACTGCACTTTAGACATGCCCATTTACTAATCTGTGATGATGCAAGCTTATTCATCTGTACACATGCAAAGTGATACCAAAGATGACAATAATCACATCCAATGCTTTGATCCCCATATTTCTGTATGCTGTGTCCTTCCTTGATTACATGCTTTTAATTACATACAGGGCAGAAATGTGTTGTAGCAGGGGCATGATCAATGTCCATTGCCTCTGACATGACAGGCAGATCTGTGTTTTTCATTTTGATTTTTCAAAGGCCTTAATTGAAAAAAATTCAGGCACTACAAACTTCACATAAAACAATATAAAGCTGTCAAGTACTTGCAAATAGTAGGGAGCTGTCAAATAAAATCATTTCTGTGTGTTTGCCAAATAATTACATGTGTATACAATTTGCTACATATAAAAGTCACAACCCTTTCTCCCTGTGATGGAAAGCTGCCCTTAGATTTGCCAAAAATATAGAGCCATAAATAGACTTGAAGCTTACAAGAGCAGAGCCTTGAACACTTAGCACATTTTGTAACAAGGAGACATTTTATTTCTACAACACCATCCCCACAGCACTCACAAGTGACCAACAGGTCTGGACTTGCTCCTAAATGAATGTGATTCTGGTCAAGGAATGGACACTTTACTATAAAAAGACTTCAACATTTCTTTCTTGTAGGATTGTTAGGCCTCTGGTCCCAGTTCCCTGGCAATAGATTTTATATTTGGGTGATTTTTTTTATACTCCAACAAATTGCACAATAAAGGTTCCATATTTGTCACAAGATAACTTATAAGAGCATGTACAATACACTAAGACTGAGGTCAATTTCAAGTTTGACTGAAACCTGCTTTTGTTTATTGAGTCATCACAATCATATTTAATGTCCTAGTCTAAGGGAGATAATTGATATATTTTTAAACCATAAAACTGTTTCCTTGATATTGAATGTGCCCAGTCTATTACACATAATTGACAAGAGTGTTATGTACAGGACAATATTTATAAGCAGTGCTTTATATTATTTATAACTAATTAAAATAGTTTTCATAGCTAACTAATATATTTTTAGAAAATTTATATATTTGTATTGTCCATATTAGGGTATGACTCGCTGTTTAGCATTTAGTTTTCAAAAAGATAAATAGAATGTTAACTAATGCTTTCATTTAAACATTACACAATCACGTACAGGTATCAAGTTGTCTTGGTTTCATAGCCGATTTTACTGCCCCATTTTCCTTGCAACAGCAAACCCACACTGTATGTGAGTCGCCCTTCACTTTCTGTGACAACACGGTGTACATTTGGCTGATAAAATACAGCCGATGCAGTTGATATGGAATGGTAGTAAACTTCCTGAAAGTGACCAGACTGAAAATACTCATTAGCCTTTCCGATTTTGTAATCAAACGGTCCCAGTTTCTCCTCGACCCACCCAGTGTGTAAAAACAATGGGTCCGGTATGTCCATCGTCTACATGTAACAAATTAATCTTCCTGATTTTGTTTTAAAATACAGGTATCAGTTTGGACACAGACTTAATTTAATTCCGTGGTTTGGACAAGTGGTAGCTTAATCGTAAATGCAGCAAAACATAATGCCGACAGCCATTTCTTGCTTCTGTCTTTTGACAAACCGCGCTTGGTAAAAAAATCACGTAAATCGGGGAGTTTCCATGTTATAAAATCATCTAAAGTTCGATTCTGATCATTAGGATCTGCTGTCTATAAAGTATATATAACGTTCAATACAAAATATAAGTGTAAATCATAATCTAAATCATGTCTCATGTGAGGCCCGTCAAACTGTCAAATTCTTTTACATTGGCGCGAGATTTTTTTCCCCTATGACCTCTGACCCGTGCCGCCATTTTGGATGGGTTGATACGTCTATATATGTCGAACCATAATTATAAAGTGTTGACATATTTTCTCAAACTGAGAAAGACACAATCAAATACAAAAACAGCATACAAGGTCTGTGTTGGAGTTCATAGATTATTACAAGGCCTTCAATTATCACCGGATGGTGTCTTTTTCGTATCATCTGTCTTTTCTGTACGGTTATTATCATTCTCTTAGAAGTGTGTTTAATGTCCATATGTCCATGTCGGCTATTTCTAGATCTGTGATTGTCTCCCTTTAGGTATGGTTCAGTTATGTTAATGGTGTAATATCCATGTCATTCTTGGTGTTCAAAATTCCTTTTTTTTCTTTTTTTTTCCCCCTTATCAACTTTATCTTCTTCAATATTTTCCTTGTGTGTTGCCAACACATGCTATATACATTTTGTTTCTTAGTAGAGAAGTTTTTTTGCAATATAATTATTGGGCACAGATTTCAATATCAGCTGTCTTCATTACTGTTTTGGTTTGCATTCAAAGTCAGTTTAAATCATTTTCATTTTTTTTTTACTGCTCTTCAGATTTCCAGACATTGACCGTGTAACCCACATTTGTATTTTTGTTCTTTCTTTTAAACTGTAACTGGCATCTCTGTCATATAAGTGCAATTGTTTTTCTTCTGTTTTCAAAATCAAACACACATTTTCTTGAACGATTAATGAACAAACTAATAACGCAAGAGGTATACTTTAGATCATATTTATTAAGTCAATATATAGTTGTTTAGTAAATGAATCAATGACGTTTGATGTCATTGTAATAATAGCATACAATATAACATGGTACAAGGAATTATGTAGAGCCGACACTGAGGTACACACCAAAATTACATCTGGCAACAATATATATATATATAGGTAATGAATGTAGATAATGTCAATATCAGTGACTATATATACTGGCAATAAAACACATAAACAGGGTGTACCGTATCAAACCTAGTTAGCGCCAATGTCCATACAGTCTGTTGTCTAGATATTGAACCCTACAATTCCCTCTTTGTAAAACAAATGTTACCGAGGAGGGTCAGAAAGAAAATTAACCCTTTTTGTTTATTGGGTCAAAGTTGTTTGAAAATTAACCCTTTTTTGTTTACGGGATCAAAGTTGTGTATAAACTTGATATCCAAATTTAACTGTTTCTAATAAATGTCCCCCTCCCTACCTTCCGACGGGCTAATTACAGGAAAGTGTGGTCAACACTGCCATAAAAAAACACTAATATGAATGTTTTGTTGCATGGGATATAAAATCCTGATAATATATTCTCGGAGTAGAATAAGTTGCTTCAGTTACATAAAGACAACCAAAGTTCGAGTGCTAAAAATTCGAAATTAGTTCTTAACATCTTATGTATGTGTGCATCTATGATTTTTGATTTCAAAGACAAAGTTTTCATGCAGAATAAAATGTATCCTTGTTCAGGGTTTGATTAAATTTTTTAATCATTAACTATATTATCATATTTGATATCAAGGAGGACGTTTTCTTGTAGTATTAATTGTATCTATGTTTGGCGGCAGATTGATTTTTTTTAATCTCTAACCATTATATCATAAAATGTAGGCATGTTAACTTGTTTTAACAGGTAGTGCTGATGCCAGGCTCCTGTCAGTAAACTCTATGAGAGTTTTGAGACAGTGAGAGGGTGGCCTGTTGTGGTGCAGAACAGATATTGGCACTAGCTACGTTTGACACAGTACAAGACTTTGGATTACACACTCGAGATTTTACATCTCTCTTTAGTTTGCACCTTTCGATATCAGTGCAACATGATAAAATGTCAGTTCACCTCAGGGTCTGTACAAGGAATATCACATGGTATACATTTACATCACTTCTTATACTTGTAATGGAAAAACAAGATTACATCATACATTGATAGGAACAGAAGATATTTTCTTTACCCGATTTTCTCTCTCTTCAAATTGCTATTCATAACTTGTTTTTTTTTTCGCCAAAAAGTTGCTGAAGAACACTTCCAAACATTTTTTAAAAAAAACAGCATTTAAACAGCAGATCCATTCATTTCTGTATTTTGAAACATCTGGTTTGTTTGATTTCCAGAAGAGTATTCCATCTCTAAATATCAACCGCCTAAAAATGACTGAAAAATATTTTACAGGCAGTTGCCTGTAAGAACAGCACAAGACAAACAAGAACTGGGACTAAGAATTTTGCACAACGCTCCAACACTATACGACAATACACAGATACACACACAAATTGTGACTAGCACCAAAGTTTAAAGGAAAAACAAATCTCCACAAAGTGGAAATCTGAGCTGCTGAACTGAAAATAATAAAAGTCTAACTAGTAATGCTAATTCCACCTCGTCACTCAAACCCAGCACTATATTGCCAGAGTTATGATTCTCTAACGTTGTCTGTATATATCCCTAACATGCATACCATTGAACCCTTAAAAAGTTGAATTCTCCATCAAAACTTATTTCTCGGTCCCCCAACAAGCACACAAAATACTTTATCTGTAAACAATGTTTTGAATATCTCGTTTAAGATTTAGTCATGATCCCAGCCCTTTCGACTGAATAAAATATAACTGTATGAATTATATTACTATCTCTGACCAAGACCATAATCTCTTTGGTCAGAGTTATCTACCTTTACCAGAGTGATCTCCCTTGCTCTCTAAAGGTTATCTATTATAATATCTTATAACAATGCATATGTGAATGTTTCCTCTCTGATTTTTAAACCGAATATTCAAGATAATTTTCTATTGGCAGTGAGCAAAACTGAAGTTGAATTAAACAACATCTTCTATTGCAAGTAACCATTTTCTGTGAAGAATAAGTTTAATGGCAAGTTAAGGGACTCTCTGATGAACTACGAACATGTTTCAACTCTAAACTATAATTCAATGCTTCTTCAAATATTCTGCCGATATCAGAAAGAGGACGTCCTCATCCAAATCAGTTTGTTCACATCAGACTGGGAACACTATCATCAAATATTTTCGCCGGTCAAGGGAACTCGTACCCCAAGCATTTGCCATTTCAATTTCAACCTGAGGTTTTTATTACACTGAAAATAAATTAATGGTGAAATGCTACAACATTCTACAAAATAAAAAAAGAAAAATGTAGCTTTTCTAGAGAAAAAATATCTCCATATCAGCAAAAGACATGGAACAAATATCACTATGCCCTTTGCAAACCGTTCATATATCTCAATTCTTTCCAATATCCGATCCCCTTGAGATCTGAGTATGTGTTACTATCACCCCTGAGAGAGCCAATGGAATTTCCTACTTGGATTGTACCAAACGAATCTTGTCGGGAGCGACAGGATGATAATGCAGATCATTTCAGCTATTACGTACGATCCTTAGAATGCTTTTCTGGTTACTAGTATGCTTCAAAGTCCAACTTCTTATCACATTAAATGCAAATTCTTCTGAGCTCCAATTTCACGCAATATATGATAGATAAAAAAGATCATGTTTTCAACAATTAATACACATTTCTTGAAAAAGTATATTCATGAAAAATGGAAAAAAGAGAAAGTGCCACATTACAATATTTAAATACGGGATCTCGCAAAAGGTTTTGTAGATCTTCTTTCCAGCAAATTTGATTGTACATTTAGATAACATACCAGACACACTGGCTCTAGAATTTAATGGAAATTTGATAAGACTTTATACAATTTTTTTGTTTTAAATAATCTGTCGTGTCACATAATACATATTTATGTCTTATCAATATTAGACATAAATGTTTAATTAAGATATCATGTTGCCAATTTTTGTTTTCTTTTAATGAAACATACACATTGTGTAAAATGCATGAAATTCCTCACAAATAAGAATGGGTCAAGCTTGCAGGGCTAATAACCAGCAAAATATCACTTACTTGACATTCACATTTAAAACTAGAAAAGTTCACTGTTGCTATTCTGGAGCAGTATTCAGGTGTTTTCTTTGGTCTGTAGCTAAACGTACAATCAAAACTACTGTATACTTTTGTAGATGAACAACAAGCATATATAAAAAAAAGCTTTTTAATATTCCAGGGATTACTTAACCTGTTTATATACACCTCAATCTTATTGAATCCTGCAGTGCCCACTTTATTACCTTAAAATTTAGTTTTTTGTTCCTTCCTTCATATTTTATCATTTGATTACAATCAAATGTAATTTTTAAAGAAAATAACATCATATCTTAAAAATGTCCGTTTATATTTAAAATTCTTGGTCAGCTTAAAGAATTTAGAATTCTGTGTTTAATATTTCTGAATAGATCACCTGTTAAATGTCAACAATAACATCCCCTTGTACAAACTTTTAACAACTTCAGATACCAGTTCATATCTGCCACACAATAACAGCACAGATAACTCTGTGATCTAATATCATAAATGCAATGACTTAAAATATCATTATATAACAAATGAGGATTATCAGATTTTCACCTGCTTCCTGACCTGTCCCCAGTCAGGTCATATGGTCAGTCTGTTACCATAGCAACCACAAAAAGTGATTGAACTAAAATAGTACACATTTATATTCAATTCTTGTGCAAGCACCTCCAAATGCCAACAAATTCATAGTGAACTTTCAATGTAGCTACAGAATTGATAACCTGCTTTGTTTCCTTCGAAAAGAACCTGTCTTTCCCCCTCTCTCTCTGTGACGACTCCAGATAAGCACTAAATTAAATCAATCTTGAGATTCATATATTTTCACTGGAGGTTTGTCATACCCAGCATCCTCTTGGTGGAGGTGGACTGTAGTTTGAAGCATCAGACAAAAGCTCTAAACCCCTCCACAGAAACGTGTCAAAGAATTCTCCAGAGAAATGATCACTCAAGCGTTGTTGGCATCACTGTGGTATAAAATTCACCATGGCGATTACTTCTTGTCCATCACCATTTTGTCAAATGCATCACAGGTCATGTGACTCGTTACCGTGGTAACCTTGCTACACTGTCGACTCGCGGTCCGGTCCTTCTAAGGTCTGTTTAAAAGAGTCTCTGATTCTCTCTAACATTCCACTGGTGATGTGACCAAACGACCTCTTGTACCACTCGGACGTTCGCCCTCTGTCAAAAAAAGAACACAGTTTTAGGCTAATATAGAGCACAGACAACCAAATCATAGTGAGTTTATGTTATTTAAGTAGAAGTGAAATCCTCCTGGTGTAGGATTTATCTTCACATAAAAGTTTATATACTGCATTTATGATTTTCACAAATTTTCAAATAAAATGAACTATTGAAGGAAAAGTCCTTTGTTACAACTATTTTGTCAAAATGAGGTTACTATTCTTTCACTTGCTATATAGATGATAGTGCCCCCACTTTTGATTACCCTTGGAATGACACTTTAACAGGAAGTAAGATTCTGTAGGCTATGTACCTGAGGTCAACCCTGGTGATGTGTGTTATTCGCGACTTGCCGGTGCTACATGGCTCAATCAGGAAGTGTGAAGCCAGCTCAACTGACCGTACGCCTCCAAGCAACTCTGCTTTCGGGTGCTCCACGGAAAAGGACACCATGCAGCATGCACCCTTTGGAAGGTCCGTTCTCCAAGACCTGTCATATCAAAATTATTTCTCATTAATTATCCTGTTTTGAACCATTTATGGGTATATATAATTCATAATGTCTTATTTTCCCTTATTTATTTGTTTCAATTAAAGTATATAACGAAATATTGAAATCCATTAATAATTAGTTAATATTTACTAAAAATCAAAACGGAAACAACATTTCTGTGAATTAACTAAGGGGGGATAACCCACCTGAGGACGACAAAGTCACGGCTGGGGTGTGGTGGCATGGAATTACGAGAGTACTGGAACACATCGGTCTGTTGGTCAAGTTTCTCTATACAGCGCCACTTCAGTAAATCTTCGTCCCACTGTTGTCTGAGGATACAAAAATAACACTCCAGTCAAAACTCAAATAGCCTTCCATTCCGCATTCTTTTCAATAAAAAAAATGGCAAATTATCAAAAATAGTACTTTTTTTCACTTTTTTTTTTTTTTTAAAACTCAGTAATTATACATTGATCTGCCTTCATATGATATCTCAATTGTTGCTTGACAAAGTATTTCTTCTTTAAACATGATCTGCAAAATTCTGTGCCATTCAAATTAGAAGAAAATTCTCTAAAATCCCAGAAGTAGTGGTTATGATGCTAGAGTAGCTCCCCTTTACAAGTGATCCATATACCTCTCATTCTTAAGCTTGTCCAAAACGACATCAGGTGGAGCATCCACCTCCACCTGGACCTTCCACAGGCGCAGTGGATGACCGTCCGCGACCTTCTTGTAGGACACATCTACGCTATGACTGCAGGACGAGGAAATCCAACCGCGGAACTTGTCATGAGATTCCTACACAGATGACATAAAGTGTTAGCAATATTCAGCGTTTAGCACAAGTTATAATATATCTGGTGTTGGATATCATATAGTATATCTGATAGGATAGACAGTTAAAGATTTTTTTTTTAGAATGAATTAAATATATGAAGGTGGAAATAATGAAGTGATAATAATATCTCCTCCCACCCCAACCCCCCACTGTAGGGGGCATTACCCATGTGAAAACTAGAACTGTAAACCACAGGCAATACCAATCTACCCTGCTGGACCATTGAAGTTTTAAAACTTTTTCATTGAATGCAACTTAAAATCATTACTGTCTCAGCAAATCATAGACCATGGTAGCCATTTTGAATCCTGATTCTATGATTTAATTCTACACAGGTATATGCTGTGAAAGGTTACCTTTTGTAGCCCCTGTATACACGTTTCTACGTCTGACTGGTACCCGGGGGTATCCTCCGTGGACCTCATCGTGTACTCCTCCATTGTCACAGGGTTACCCTGCTCGATGTAGGAGAACCGACACTTGCTCAGGGTACTTGTAGATAACTGTAAATCGAGGATGAATTTTAGGAACTTGATATAAATACCAGAATTGTAAGAACAGTTACAGAAGCAATCGAAATTACCAGCATTATTAATATTTTGCAAAAAATAAATCATATTGAAATGGATTGATGTTGAAAAGAAATTTTACCTACAAAAGTTTTACAGTTTTAACTGTGGAAACATTTTGTAAAACCTATGTTTTCTTCCAGTTAATGTATATACCCTTATTTTCTTTTTACTTTCACTTTGCAAGTATTTAATATGGTTCTACTTACTGTGAAGAGCTTTTTACACTCCACAATCATTGTGGTGAGACACTCGTGGGCAGCCTTCTGTTCCAACATCTCGCGAGCATCAGGTACACCTAGGTTCTTTCTGTGGCGGCGTGGACTGGGGCTCTGGCTCCCGATCTTATAGCCACCCATCATGAATAGCGAAGGTGCAAGGCATACTGCTAGGTTACTCGCTGTCATCTGTTCAGACAATCATTATAAATCTGTCAACTTTGACAAAACACCGTAGACAAATTTACATTAATAGATTACTATTTATCTTCCTACATCTTCTAATCCTATAAACATTAGTTATTTTTGATTATTTTTTTTTGTGCCATAATTTTTTTCCAATAATACTTCAACAAACTTTCCATCCAATACCTTTCACAATTTTGATTCTGTACAATATCATAAAACCATCTTCAAAGTTAATCTCATCTTTAGTTACCATGTAAAATTCCGAACTCGTACCTGGTGTTCTGATGCATGTTGGGAGATATCGGACAGGAAGAGGAGGAGAGACTCCAGCACCTCACGATTCTCGTCAGGAAGTAGGAGAACGGACGACTGCAAGGCCTCCACCCTCTGGTCAGCTGGTAGGTCTAAGGAAAGGGAAAATTAATATTTATTATATATCTTGCAGGACATTTTTATCATTTGTGGAAGAAGTTGTCACTTATAAGATACAAAGTAAAAACAGAATTAATATCTGTTGTCTGAATCAATTGAAAATATAGAATTAACTTTTTTCTGGAATAAAATACATTCACAAATGAAAAGTAACTCAGTATGTTAACAATTACTAGGTATATAAATGACATTTCTTTATATCTAGGTTTTCTCTATATACAACACGTATATATCCAAATATTAAACTCAGACGCCTGATGTTGACTTACAGATGAAGATGTTTATGAAGATCTCGGAAAGTTTGTTGGTGAGTAAACATTCTGGTAGGTCCCGGAAATACTGTTTCAGCAGATCGGCTACGTCGTAGTCTTGTACATCCTCAAAACTTACCATTTCTGTGGGGAATAACATTGATAGGATATCAATATGACACTTAAATCAACATATGTTCATATTGCATTTTTACACGAGTTTATGCTGGCAGGTTCTATTACTGATCTTGAGTGTCTTTTGTCCCATAACAACTTTATACACATCTACCACTACAACTTTATACACATCTAGCACTACAACTTTATACACATCTACCACTACAACTTTATGCACATCTACCACTACAACTTTACACACATCTAGCACTACAACTTTACACACATCTAGCACTACAACTGTATACACATCTACCACTACAACTTTACACACATCTAGCACTACAACTTTACACACATCTACCACTACAACTTTATACACATCTACCACTACAACTTTATACACATCTAAACAGGTTTTTATTTAACATTCATGTCAACAGATACAATATATTAGTGTTTCTACCCTAAATTGTATTATTTAAAGCACGTCCGTAAATTAGTGGCAATTTGGCATGATACTTGTATGTTGTTCCTCAAATTTACAGTTAAACAAAAGAGTTGCTTCCCTTTGAGCGGTCCTAGTAACTCTAAAACACCAATACCATTTTTGTCAAACTGAGCAACCCACATCTGGTTCAAAGGTATCTATAAATAGTCCTTACCTATCTACCTAACCATCTTGAAATATATACTTATTAACAAAGCTTGTAGCTTTCATTGCACTGATGTCTTTTTTTTTTTGGTCATATGTAAATTTATTAAATGAAGGTCTCCCATATCAGATCTAAGATGTAATCTAAACTCTCTGGTACTGCCCTAAAAAAATCCTCATGGTTTATTGTAAGCTTGTATGATTATCTTTTACTTCATCTTTATACCTGAAATCGACGAAAGGACCCCATGAACTTTTTGAATCTGACATTTATTTGTTTACACACTTATATTCTCGTTTTTTATAACTTCGCAAATTTTCCTACAGCTATATAGTGGTACGTGGGCAATATCTTGTGTATGTATGCAAACATCACGACACATATATTTTTATATCATTTTATACAAAAAGCAGACAAATTCATAGCTACTTTAATGACAAAATCAAATTTATCATAAATATTTATTTCCTATAATAAAATGAAATGCAGAATTGATTTAAATAAAAGGGAAACATTTTGTACTTGATACGAATTCATAGCTATTTTAAGTACAGGACTGGTATATAAATGTACATGTGGGCTGTACTGTATTGTGACAGTAATCACTGGTATCCTTATACTGGTCACAGATGTGTATAACAGCTTGAAGGAAGGTCCACACCCATTATATATAATAACATCACACATTTACCTATGTATAAATCCTTATTGATTGGTCGGGCTATAAACGTGGAAAAAATCGATATATCCAGGAGAAAAGAGAATTCATAGAGGTCGTCCACTCTGGAATCGCTATTTGACAGCAAGTGCCCGTTAAAAATAACTACTGAAATAACTGCTAAGACCCAAGCAATATCACACTCAGCATGAATTTATTGGATGTGATAAAAGGTTAAATGAACTGCGTCAAATGCAAGGAGCAGAATTATCTTGGGTTTACAAAAATCTGGTTCTGAATATCTATACATGAAAACTGATAACTGAGGTGATTTCATAGGCAACAAAAAAACAAGCAACACATTCTACGCAACATTTATCAAGAATTATAGAAAATCTTGCATATATCATATTTCTCCAAACAACAAAATATTTTTGTAAGTCAAGCTTGATATTCGGATTCTACTCTGTTTAGTATTTGCTTTTAATGTCTTTTTTTCATTTTTCATGTCAAATTTTTATTTTGCAAAAACTTCAATCTCACCTGGATTAGCCTCCAGTTCATTCTTCAGCTTCTGTATACGTGACCTGACACCAGGTTTACGGAAGATGCCAACAGCGTCAGGAGAAGTTTTGCGGAGGTAGCGCATGGCATGGAGTATACACTGGGGGAGTGGCTGCCCTGTTCTCTGTAGAGTCACCAACATGGGCACTCCAAACACCACCTTGTCCTTGTAGTCGGGCACTTTGTGCCTCTTCATGAAGCGAGGGACCGTCCAGTTCCAGCCAGGTCGGTTCGGGGAGTATTTTTCTATGAGTGCTGTGAGCTTGATAAGTGAAAGTTTTTGTAGGACCATCAATTGACATATAGACAGACACGTTAGCTGAATGTTCTCATTTCCATAGCTCGGGCGATGCGACTTTTGGAAACTGTGCCAGCGTATCCGGTAGCGTCTTCGGTCACTGTGAAGCAAAAATGGAAGTTTTGAATGAAACTTTTCGTTTAAGATATCCATATATATGACAATATATGGTAAAATGGAAAATTAACACAATTCAAAAGCTCAGGATTGAGAAAAGAGGAAGTCATGCTGACCGCCTTATATTTTTTGAAGTGATGGTGAACTATATATTGGGATGTTATGGGTGTTACCTTGGCGTGCGTGTGAGGGAAGAGCCGACCCCGGAATCTCGCCTCTCCCTGTAGATGACTTGTTCCGTGGAATCATCGTGGGACAGCTCCTCGCATGGAATGTCATGGTCACTGCTCTCGGGCGAGGACGCTGTACAACTGGCGACGTCATTGTCTTGGTCAAAGTCGCTGGAATTTATGCCACTGTTGACCTGCAGGCTATCCTCAAGGTCAAGGCCATTCAGATTTAAACTATTTTGAAGTGAAGGAGGGAGTTCTACATCAGCTGTAAAAATAAATAGGTCACAAGGTTACCAAGGTGATGAGGTTCATCATGGGTTGATTTGGTCATCAAGGATATTTATATATATATGATATTTGTGACGTTACCATGGGTACATGTTTAAATGTACATGTCACATGACAAAATCACATAAACAATAATAATATCAGACAATAGAACTGTTCAGTATTCTCAAAAGTCTTGGGTCATCGAAGTGCAAACTGATTGCATGATAATAAAACATCACGTCTTTTCCACACTGAAGGACATTTTTCAACACTTTCTTGAACTGTTACCCCTGCATGTGCTGATCTACAGGTTAAATTGGTGCTTAAACAAATCAGTCAAGATTGAACCGTAGTAACACCGGACAAGGTTACACGTTACTCCCTAAAATAGCCCCGACAGGACCTTAACTGTGAGTAGATGTTTTACCACATGTAACTTGATAACCATGGACGACTGGACTTGGGGACAACGCCCTGTAACACGGTGTATGTCCAGAATGATAAGAGGCCAGGACATTTAGATGGGACGGGTCACATATCCTGTACATGACTATTAGAGCTATTAGGTCCTATTATCATGTTAACCTTGTGACCATGATTTCTCCCTTGCTGTGATGTTTTCCCCAAAATTACATGTACAGGAAAGGCAATGCTTATCAAGATAGTCAATTATTTACATTAATTTTACGATAAAGTTTGAAAATAATATTTCTGAATTTATTTTTTCTAAGGATCCTGCTTCGTGAAATTGTAGGAAAAAAATGAAAACAAACATTCATCTGTCAAAGCTTCAGAAACATTCCATAAGTGTAAATAGAGATACAATGACAATGTTAAGTAGGAACCCTGAGTATGTACTGTTATACGTTCATTAACTGACATAACAATTTTATGAGTATGAACACATACATGTACACTCAGAAGTAAAGGGGTTGTCATGACCAGGAATTTTACAGGGTATACACTTATATTTATATATAAACAGAGTCATGAGCAACTATCAACTCGGCTGATCATTTCCGATAACACTGATACTAGAACAAGTGGCCACTTTCCTCTTCAGGCGTCAGACAAAACCCCTTATATATGTCTTTTCAGAGAAGCCTGCTAAATACAATGAGAAATAAGAGATGGTTCAAGTGTGTTTTGAGAGCCCTCCATACGCTTATGCGACAGACAGTCGATGATATCATGACGGTATACGTATTACATTCCTCACTATCTATTTTCGTCCCCAATAAAAAGAATTTGCGTTCAAACGTCTTATATGGTATCTGAATGTATAGTATGAAGATTTCTTAATTCTGAACAAACACAGTAATCTCTGTGAAGGAATTTGATCAAATATTGAACTTGTGATATATACCAAAAAAGATTCTTGAGTACAGTACTGGTATCTAAAAAATGCAATAAAATTCATAATGATAATGCCGTTTTGAAAGTCACCGGGGTCACTGATGAGGATTTACACCTGGTTTTATTGCCCTCCTTATCTACAGTACAAAGTGGGCCACACTTTTATGTGTGTCTTATCTAGCAAAACAATATGTAATCAAAGTTATGTTGAAGGATTCAAGATAAATGCCATCAACATTGCTTGAAAATAGGTCAACTTAAAACCTGTCAAATAAGCAACAAGTACAGCAAAAATAGTTTAATAGAAAAAAATCAAAAAAAAAATCAGGTAAATGTTGTGACAAAAGTCGTTAAATCACCTGGAAAAACCATTTTTGTTAGAAATGTTGAAGCAATTTTTTCATGTATATATATATATATGATAGCACCGAACAAGTAGATCATACATGTAATTGTATAGTACAACAGTGAAGTACAGCTAGCGTGACATACAAAATACACTAGACCAAACAAATCCACGCACTATACAACAGCTCTATAGTGATCGACGACCGATATTGACTTTCCTAAACACCTCAGCTCATGCAAAATACAGATTAAAATTCACCTGAATGGTTCACACCAGGTTTATACCCTGAATGGCTTTTTTTTTTTAAAAGTGTCTCGCCTGTGAATGGCTGATAAATCAATCATCAGCTTAAAGCATACACTCGCACATAATCAGTCAGGATTTTCTCGGCAGTGTCAATTTGTTTTGGTAAAAATATCAATCTGTCTTATATACTACAACCGTGTTGAAATTATTTCCTCAAATTTTATTTTGTGAAATAAACAAAACAGAAGGTAAATGATTGTATGGAAATCCATCTGAACTGAGAAAATGTTGGGAATTAATAGTTCTTAGAGTAAAGGGAGATAACTCTGGTCAATATGAATGTTCATGAATAACAATTTTGGTGTGAAATGGCTGGACTTAATTATGATAAATCAAGGCTTGTGTATTGATAAAAAAACTTAATAAAAACAGTTATAATAATGACTTAATGTGTTAATATATGTAAAGAATTATACTGCATGTCTTGATCTTAATTAAAATGACCAGAAGTCGATCAAATACATTGGATGTTGCCGACAAATGAGGCGTTCCACATGGACTACTTTTACGTATCATTGCAGCAAAAAAACAACACCAACAATTATTTGGGGTATCATGTCAATCCATAAATGAAGCCTAGAGATATAAGGGAAGGTCATGGCATGCCTTTTATAGGAGACACTATAGGATATACATTTCTCCATCTCAAACGAAATTGTTAAATTTGAAAATAAAAACATGTACCATATTGGCCTCATCAAATGTCCAGGAGGTTGAATTTTAAAAAACAAATGAAATAGCAGCTGGTTGATCATTGAAAAAATAAATCTGCAATAAATATAATCATTCATGCAAATGCTACCTCTTTTTTAACGTCAACTTGATCTGGGTCGTATTTTAACTCCCCATATAGAAGTTACAGGTGCAATAATAAGCTGTTGAGTAACTGAATAAAAATCACATTGAGGATTGAAAGAAGGGGGACAATAATATTCTGAAATATGCTGACTAGAACAGTAATGGCAGCCTTGGAAGAGAACTGGGATGTTCCGTTATAAGAATTTGTAGCGTAAAAAAACCCATTATGGTACTATATACATTATAAATTAGTAGATCATAACCAATGTATGATGAGACACTGATTATAATGACTTAATAAAGATAAAATATGCCAGGAAAATGCGATGGGGGGGATTAAAAGAATTTTTTATTTTTCCGAAAATGGTTTGTTTTTATTGACATTTTTTAGTCAAGTCGGGGATAATTATTAGAGTATGGGCAATTGTTAGGACCATTATAGTACATGTATTTAATCAACAATTTCAACTGTACCTTTTTTCAATTTTATTGCTTATATAATAATTTAGGGAGGGACACACCAACATTTCAAACAAGGATTTGAATATCTACGAAAAAAATAAAAAATGGTAGCCATGCACTGGTTGAGCTCACGTTTATAAATAGGTCAGTTTTTGTCTCATATTAATTGCCTAAAAATGAAAAGAGAAAAAAAAAGAAAACAAAAAAGGGTATTCTACTCATAAAATCATATAAATCAATTGGAAAGTAATATAAACATTATATATCTACACAAACTGAAAAATACACAGTTAACTGAAGTGTGGAAAACTAAAATAGCAAAACAAATATTCATTGTATTCCTCGGAAAACATTCAATACCTTATACTATTATAAACCAAACGCAACATATTCTTTCCGGAATTGCAAATATTAATTTAGAAAATAAAAAATCTGGAGGAAAAGAATTACATTATCTCATACTTCTTGCTAAAGAGAGTTTGTCTAGACAAAAGGACATTTTTCAGAGATACATACCAGCATCCTCTCCATAGATAGCTTTGTTTAAGCCATTAATATCTTGAAACAGCCGATGGAGAATTAAATCAAGTTCCTTCTGTGTCGACTGCAGGTCTTCCTCTTCCTTCACGTTGTCGTAGTAACTGGTCCGATGTCCGGCCAGTCTTGGGTCAGCTGACCCCCGTCGTCGGACCAATGGCGTACAAGAGTCTGAACTACTTAACTTATCACTATCCAAATTACAACTTCCTGCCCGGTGTTTTACACCGTGTCCACTGTAACTAGTGCTCAACTCTTTTGGAAATCGTCCTGGTCGACTGGGCGGTAACTCGTAATTATTACCTTCAGTTAAATTATTTTCACTGTGATTTCTCCGCACAGAGAAATGTTTTCTGGGCGAACTCCCAAGCAAAGGTTCATCACTGTCTGTACTCGACGTCGAAAATGACGATGTCGTCTGCAAGACACTTTCAATATCTGACAGTTCCTGCAGCGACATTGACCCTGATGGGGATTTGGCAGTAACATTTGGCACCTTGTAATTTGTTGTTTCGTCTGACCATGGTTCTGGAGATGTTGGAGTTACATCTCCTGAATAAACTATTGCCGTGTCCCGATCCAATCCACTCTCCGGGGAATTTGGTCCATTTTCCGAAGAAGGACTCAAGTCTTTACAATTCAAATGCCTTATTTTTTCCTGCATGTTTGCACTATCCATGATAACAGGTTCACTAATTTCTACAGCGGAGCCATTTTTATTTCCGATGCGTTTTGTTTTCCGATTATTTTTCAAGCTCTCCACTCGCTTGAGGAAGTTTTTAGCTCCTTTGATTCTTTCACTGGCCGCTCGTCTCAAACTCGGACTCGTCACCGATGTCGACATACTGTCCTTGTTATTGTTGATTGGCGTCGAGGTCTTTACACCGAAATAATCGTCATTGGTCTGACCCTTGTTGTGGTGAACTTTGGTGTCCAGAACTGGACTGTTGTCAGTTTCACTATTACTGTTCTGGTCAGTCAGCAGACTGTCGTTACTAGAGCTGGATTTTACCAGCGTGTTCTGGTCTTCGGAGGTCGGGCTGTTAAAGTCCTTCCTGGACCAACGTCGAATGTTGTATTGGTACTTCCATTTGTCACTCAAGGCACATTGGTCCTCGTCGTCAGAATCTTCACCCTGAAATCATAAAAAAAATATAATTAAAACCTCTAATAACTTTAAATGCTTATTTCTTATTCATTTAAAATTCTCAATTTTTCCCCCCCATTATACCGACAGATTTTCTGGAAATGAAAAAAATTGGAACAAATATTTTCAAACATACACAAAACCTCCACCTTCTGCTGACAGAATCTGTAGTGTAAACTTTTTGTACAAATTATTTTGTTCATAAGACAATTTGATGATTCACGTTTACACAAAAAAAGGACCTTTAATCCTTCAAATTAAATTTACAAGCCATTTGCTCAGTCAGTTTAGACCTTGTGTAAACTGTACACGCTTCTGAAGATATTGGCAGGGGTCTCCTACGGAAGGTCAGCTTTATTTCCCAACAGGGGAGCACCTCGTACCTATCTAATAGTCTTTGCATTTCCTGTGGTATTAGCTGGTATCTTGTCTTGTGAAAACCCGAAGACTGTACATCTTATGTGTAAACAATAACATTAATTAACTTTACACGGAGATCTGGCGATACCTGAGAAGACCGGGGTAATATCCAATGAAAAGGTCTTATATAGTTTTTACAGGTGTCACTTCACATCAAGATACGCTGAACACAGGTCAAGAGGATTTTTTTTATTTTGTAAATGATTTTATCTGTCGCCCTCCTGGTCTACTAGCCTGCAAAGCTCCAGAAGGGGGAGAAAAACAGTAGGTGTTTGATTGAGGATGAAAAAAACTGATAAGGACTGCTGCTATAGCGGATGTTTCCCCGTAATGAGTGGCAGATAAGTCACCTCCCACATCCACAGCCTCACAACCACTGTAGCCGTTGGAAGAAAAACATAACTGTTTCCACTATCTGTGGTTCTCAATTGTGGTCCTGCTATCCTTCAACTACCTAATCACAGTTGTGGTTGACCTGCTGGGTAACCGGGGTTTACCACAATATTTCACCAATATGATAACCTCCGTTCATAATGGCCAAAACGATCATTCATCACTCAGCAAGTCTCTATCCTACTCTGGCAGGACATGTCTGTGACTATACAGACAGAAATCCATTAATAAGGCTAAATACATTCACATCCACACCGACAATACATAGCCGATACTGTAGCTGACCTTTATATAGTTTGTCAATATTAGACGAACCACATCGCCACTGTTTTGAGAAATGTCACTATTCTCCAAATAACTTTGTAAAAATTGTGTAAATAATATCGGAACAATGGTGTGGATATAATTTTAAATATATATCGCTTAGTTACTATACTAGTTCTAGGATCACTAATGAAATATTCAAACAACTCGCTGATTATTCACACATTATCATTTGAAACGTTTTAATGGCATATGTATCTCCATAAGCTACAAACGAAATTATCGGAAAACATCCACACAGATTGGGAAGCAAGATGAATAACACATAATCCAGATTGCCATGGAAACTGCTGCAGAATATGCACGAACAAGACGGATGACATATCTCACCTCCACACGACAATGACGCTGCAGATCAAATTCAACATCTGTTGGTCCATAGATATACTGAATCCTTTACTCGACATCCGAGTCAAATAAACCACAGCATGTCCAACACATAAACAACCCACATATGAATGTTTAGGTCACAGAGCCAGTTGATACTTTTCCAAAGGTACAATCACCACTAGGATACAGTACCACGACTCGATACAGTACCACGATTCATCACAATATTGATCCTCCTTTACATCTGGGTGCGCTAATCCTTCAAAGCGATTCAGCCAGATTAGATCTTGAATAAGCCAGTCGTTCACCTTAAGGCAACATCTATATCACACTAACTAATATTCTACTCATCTTTTGTAGCAATCGCTCCGAACCCTGAACAGTTACCCCCGCTGTAATTCTGTGGACAGTTTTTCGCTTCTGTTACAAAGGTAATCGTAATGGGGCGGACCTGAGATTTCAGAGACCTTCAATCTAGGACGGTCAGCGCCCGTAGAGAATATCATGTTATTTATGCCTATACTACCGAGGTAAACATGAAATTCAATAATGTGACGGAGCAAGCCTAATACAACATTCATATTAAATGTAAATCTAATTCCGTGACAATCATAGACTGTAGTGGAAACGGCTATATAGCATTCTGCAGGTAATGTTATACAGTGGGGACATTACGTTTCCAGTTATACAGTCTGGGCGCTACATTTTCCCTGTTACACAGGATGAATACCTCGACTCTGTGTATGTAAACAGTGACAAATAAACTTTGCTGTGGATATTTTCCCCCAGGTAACTAGAAGATATAACTAGCCTAAAAGTAAACAAGTGCGTCACCTTAGAAGGCATCCGTAGTATTTAAAGGTCCGTAAAAATGTGTAATAGCAATTGGAAGAGTCTGAAACCCTGACGAATAGTAAAAACGGGCAATAATGTTCTGTAGTTCAGGACAGGGCCCTTCAAATATGTAGCATACTAAATGTGTAAATAATTCACAAATACCTGGACTACAATTTTCTTTCTACAATACATCTATCAAAGACAATAAATTGTGGCTCGACAAAATGTAATGTGTAGTATTTATGCAATTCACTTGTAACACTATATCAAAATACAACAATAATAATTTAGTTTGCACAGAAACTTTGGAGTATTGTAATTTATTCCTATGATCATTTTTTATCATCATTATGAGTCTTATTTAAAGTTTGTTGACCAACAGGGTGGGCTTATTAATGAACAAGGACCTATCGGAGGTGAACTGTATTAATAGGTATACTGACATGCATTGTAAGAATTATGTCAACCCCCATCAAAGGTCAAAAGGTATAGAATTAATTATTGTAACGTATGGAAAATCTTTTCCACATTTCACACCTGACAAACTCTTACAGTGCCCTGACCTTCCTGACAAGTTTGGAAGAGTTTCAGATCCACCTGACATTTCACTTTCCATATCTAATGAGGCCCTTCACCATTTACCACTTTGCCATAACAATGGTCCTTCTGATACCTGTCAAACTTAACCTGCCAGCTGAAGTCATATCAAAGATTTCCACCTGAAAGATTCTCAGGATGAGTTGACACACAAACCACACATCATGAATATCCAACCCTACAATGATATGGTCAGTGTCTGTATATTGACAACTGTAATGAACGCAGAATTTTCTTACTAGCCCGAGTTTCCTCCGGCCGTGAAACACCTGGAGACTTAGACATTTTGACATATAGATGTCTGGTGTGGAGCCAGGGGAAACTTGTGCTTCTTTCTTACCTGCAGACACAGATATAGAATAAGATGAACCATCGCTTCAACTTTAAAAACAATCCTTTTGATTGATGTCCATTTTCACGTATCATGTATGTAAGTTTAACAGTCTTCCGACAAGATATATATGAATTCACTTGTGATATCAAAGGTCGTAGACATCCATTAATAATATCACTTTCCTCTCGACATGTTCCGATCAGAAGACTTTTGTAATTCGTTCTTGGGAGGTGAGTGACTTATATCTCACAGCAGTATCTCTTCCTCTCTCTCCGCCCACACTTCAAATCACAATTAGTTTTATGTAAAAGTCCACTGCCCGAAATTTTAAACCACCACTGTCAAAAATTATAAGCAATCTGAAATTTGAATGTTCTATATGGATATCTAATCAGCCAACAAAACAAACTGTAATATTTCAGATAGCGTCCTACATTTGTGTACAGTGAACCAGAGGGGATGTCTTTGTGGTCTGAGATCTGTACCGTCGTCGAACAATCAGGGTTCATCAGAGGCTTGGAAATGCCAGGTCAGTAACTCCTCCCCTGACTTTTCGGTCATTTCAACCGTGACTTAATTTGTTGGTGTCACACCTTTCCTTATGACAACTGCCTGTTTGCACGCGTGCCGAGTTAGCCAATAAAATGCTCCATTCATACCCTGTTCTCAGTAGTAAACAAATAACCCATGGCCACAGACTGGAATGTGGGGGGAGGATTTGCTCTTTTCAAATAATTTTCAGTTCAACAGAAATACATGTCCAGTTTTTCTTCTGTAAAGGGCTACCAAGGTCAAACAGAACTAGATACAAATGACAGACATTCACATTTGTTCATTGTTACTGACCCATGACCGTGGTAAACTAAATTGTAAACCCCCATTCATTCCTTACTATCTTTGTATTTTGTGAATGAAAATGTTCCTGAATGGATTTAGAGAACATAAACATTACAATGAATCCCTCCAATTGGTCAGGACATTATACTACTGTTCTCCCTTACCCCTTAGACAGATACTGCAATCATTAAACTATCTATTACAGAGACCCGAACCAATTTATCACAGTTCTAGAAAGTTCAATTGGTGTGGTCATGCAAAGTACCGATTTCGTGAAACCTAAGCTGGGTAGGTTGGCAGTGATTATGTATATACTTACCCCTTTTTTAGTACTTGGGGTGCTCACTCGCATTATTGCACACTTGTTCAGGGTATTCAGCCTCCTGCAAAGATATACAAAAAAATAGAAGTATTAGTACAAGTGATATTCATACAAACAACACATATAATACAGACAAACCTTATTATGACCAAGACAGGGGTGCCTGTAACAGGATATCATGATAACTGGGATATATTCACCATATCCTGTGTAAAAATACCTTAATGTACACTTTGAAATGACCAAAGGAATGTCAACTCCAATGTAAACCAGCTATAGGTATCGGAGGAATCAGCGTTTGTAGTATTGCGGTGGTGTTTCATTGTCTGGTGGTGGTGGTGTGGATAGCACATGACGGGTTCAATTCCTGGAGGTAAGACACCCCTACATGTATGTGCTATATCATACAATCTAACAAGGGAGACTAATATAAGTTGGTAAAAGTTGATATATAAATTTAATTGATGGAAATGAAGCTATAAAAACAGAAAATGTCAACCTTTTAATTTTCATCTTTAATGGATGTAAATTTGTCTATGTAACATATAATTCAACTAGAGTCCTGGGTTATTTTGAGCGTATCATCATTTTCATGAGCAAATCTAAATTATAATGGCCCATATGAAAAGTTAAATTTCTATTAATATTAACATGGACAACATAATGTTAATAACAGTTTAGTTTCTCCTTAGAATTTTTCATAAACCTACAGGAAATTAAAGGCTAAACATATTGCTTACCAATAATATCTTTCGGATGTTAAGAAATGCCTTTTATTTAAAAAGACCATGATAAAATCCATCGATTGAATTGTAAATTCCATGACTGAAACACATTCACTCAAACTGCTAGAAGCAACTTTAAACTGTTGGTCCAAGCACTGACACAACTCCAGTATAATGTACCAGGTGTAAGAGAATTCAGGAACAAATGTGAATTAAAAAGTAAAAATGACCTCTAACAGAGTCCATAGGGGGCTATCAAGGTCATTCCTGATGACACGTACATGTGTGTAATATATGAAATTCATTATAAATACAAATATTAATGAAAATTTATGCAATTTTGCACGCACAGTGCACCAAATTAACATATATATTGACATATTAATGTAAGTGTACCGAGTCATACCCTCAGTCACTGGTGCTCTGGTATATATACACAGATGTAAGGTTACAAGGTATACATATATATCATATGTCCCAAAAATCTTCAGACTTTTTACTTCTGGAGCTCATTTCTTCTTTATCAGACTTTGGTTATATACTTTCCAAATCAATTTCTGCAAATCCATTACCAGTATGTTGTGCAGGTTATCTATTAGTACTGACTGAGATGTCATCATCTTGCAGAGTATACAAAATGCAGGTCAACCCATAAAATTTGACCCATCAAATTGGAAAAATAACAACCTTGTGAATTTGTATGCTAAAGTATACAATTTCCTGGTCTTCTTCTTCTTCTTCCATAAAAAATATCAGATAAAAACCCCATTATATGCCCTTATTTTGAGTTATCAAAACCTTGTTCTGTGTCAGCGAGTTGAACCTAAATACAATCCTTAAATTGTATAATGTTAAACTGATCTTGGGTTTATAACCTTTGGACTCAAAACTTGAACTTAGCTAGGATACTGTATACATCTAAGATAAAATCCAGGATATTTTTACAAGCAATTACTCAAAATGTCAAGGCAGTCACTTTTAAATGGCAGGTAAATGTTCCAATTCATTTTTTCTAATAGCTTTAAAATGTCATCAAAACTTTTATACAGGTATCATTTATAAAGAAGTTAAAATCCCATTAAGTACTGGTACTGCACTAAGTATATTAATAGTCACTTTATCTAAAGTCAGTCAGCTGTTGAGTCATTGTATGAAATGTAAATTTTACGGTAATTAATCACACTTAATAAACTCACACGCCATTGTAAATAATGTAGGTTAACATTTCAATGAAAAAAATCTTAATGATATTGAACTTAATAATATAAAGTGATAATGTAATATTACAACTATTTGTTCTTTAAAATATTTTTTATTATTTTGATGTTTTCCTATCTTGAAATATAAAAGAAAATTGAAAGAAATGTTTAAAGAAGAATGTTGCAATAAATTAAAGTCTAGGCTACAAGAAATATTTTTTTTCTTTCTTCAAATTTGTAAGCTATATCTTGCGAAATATAACAGTGTGACTGTAAAAGACTTGTAAATTAAGTTAATGGTAGACATATATGTGACTCTAAAATAGTATCTGAAGCACAACTATTTTGAAAATTACATATGGCACTATATCAATGTTGTATATATATATATGTAGTAATTGTAATGTAATTTGATTAACAATAATCTGGAAAACCAAACCTTAGCAAGCTTCTAACTTACAGGTTGTTAACACAGGAAAACAGTAAATCCAGCATGTTGATATGTCGTTTCTCCATCTGTGTAAAAACTTGTGGTCCTAATATCCTTGTCTGGTATTATATTTGAGCTATTTATACAGAGTTGATACCTCTAGTCCACCAGCTGTTGAGTTTTAAACCCAAGCTAAATCTATATAGTGGTCGATGTTTCTATAACATGTCACAAATGTAATTTCTCCTGTTGGTCGTGCTGACATCCACAAGCTCCATCTGCCAATGTTATAATAAATCCCTCCTATAAGCTTGCGATTTCTAACATTCAAATGTCCAGACCCAGTTCCACCAGTCACATACTGGACACTGGTCACTCTAATTGACCATATAGATATACACCAGGCATCCTTTTTTACCTTAGCAATGTGAAAACAAAACCTGTCCATCATCCCACAATAGAGTGTGGGAAGGCATCATTAGGTCTATTGTTTGGGGTGTGATAGGGCTTTGTGTGACCCTGAAGGAGGTCAACCTAATCCTCACTGCCAGGTGAGATTAATGGATCCCTTTGACCCCTACACAAAGGCAGCAGAAACTGTACAGCTTTTACAGGTAAATGTGAAGTTTCACACTTTAGACTGGACAGTGGTCAAACAGGTAGGACCTACTAAATCTTTCAACCACTAGACAGGGGGTCAGAATTCACAGGTCATCAAAAGACATGTGTATGATGACCATCATGAAATCCAATATGTTTGTATACACTTACCTGATGGGAAAGTCTTAATGACCTCACACCTGTTGGACCACACTCATCAAAACTAACAAGCCCAACACATTCTGGTAAATCTTTGCTTTGATATCGATATATCAAATATGTCTATCACAATTGAAGATATACACCAAAGGAGTTAAATAAATAATGGCTTCAATTACTATCAAAACATCCTTTAAACTTATCTGTTACAGACAAATCTTCTTGCATTTAAAAACACAATGAGAAACCAAACCTATAAACAAGTCATAGAGTTTGTTTATCACAACCCAACAAATCACTATACCTACCAACTCAAAATTAAGGATAAATGTAGTTTTTAAAAATGTAAAAAAAATAAATAAAAAAATGTCTCTTTTATTATTATGAACATATGGAATAATTTCAGTTATAAATAAATAGTTCCGTTTATTCAATATATTTACAATTATACTAGTCTTTCAACCTATATGAAATCCCTTTGAAAACGAAGAATTTAATCAGTGTGTTCCTTACTAATATATTCCATCAAAATGACAGAAACTTCCAATAACATTTCTAAAATAGGTAAATATTTATAATGAAAATAGTGTTCTTTGATATGTAATAATAGAAATGTACAAGCTAGACCACCTATGGAGAGATACCTACCGTATACATGGTGATCTAGTCAAGCTTCACTTGGACAACGATACACGCGGTACAATCATCCGATCAACACATTAAGTAGGACAGTGTGACGGTGAGGTGAATCAGGGTAACAATAACAGAATCCCCCTAGTGTATGTGTATATGATATAGATACTCGTGATCAGTACTTCCTATTTCACGTTTCTGATTTCTCTCCTCTCCCCACAGTGTTTAAGAGACATGTAAACACATTACGGGGAATCACTAATAGCCATTACGCATTTAGGAAATTACAAAAAATCACACATAGCACTTAATAACACATAATTTACATACGTAGACATTATCCCCTATACATAATCAAGTATTGGTCCACTTTATCCAAAATCTATGACTGGTTTGCATAATGACGTAGCATTATTTCAAGTTTCCAAGCATACAGGAAATATTGTTCCTTCGTAAGGATTTGATTGATGTGTGGTATTTCACGTGTTTTATTTACAGTTTTGTGTAAATTCAATATGTATCGATTCCTTTTCTCTTCAAAGGTGGCATGACTCATTTCAGAGGGAAATAGTTGATGTTAACTATCAATCAACTGCCTAATGATTCATCATTATTAAAAGTTTAATTGATTCAAAATTCATTTCATTCACAATATTACACTTGTTATGTCTGTAATTCTTATAAATACTTAGAATTCCTGTGACAAAATGCCTAAATATACTTGACTAAATAAATTAAGGAAACAAATAAGAAATTAACACATTTTTTTTTAATCAATCTAGTCTCTTAAAAGTAGATGAGAATGCTTGATAATGCGACTGCTTCCATGACAACAGAGTTGTGGCACTTGTAGAAAATGTCAACCCCATTACTGGGTGTTAAATGAAACTACTGCCAGGGCCCCATATCAGATTGAGTTACCATGGTGATCCATCATCCACACAACACCGGATATTATTTATGGAAATGAAAGGAAATATTGGTGTTTATGCCAACCTGAGTCTGATAACCAGCCATTTTTACAGAACTGTTTGTAAATCATGAATAATCACATACAAGTACGTACATTTTCCACTAGATAACCCCCTTGTGGTAGAGCATTAACCCCTTTTGTACATACTGAAAACTGTGATGAACATCTACTTTATTAATGAAACATTGAACCTTTCAGCAGGTGACATCTTTCTTGGAGGAAAACTTCCGAAACATACCTGAATCTGCGAAGAGATAACCCGTCTATAAAGATTAACTTTCTACTGACACCTTTTGTTTTAACATAGATTAACTAACTACATGGACCACATGTCCACAAACCAACTGTCTACAGAGACCACATGTCCACAAACCAACTGTCTACAGTGACCACATGTTCAGAAACCAACTGTCTACAGTGACCACATGTCCACACACCAACTGTGACTACAGAGACCACATGTCCACAAACCAACTGTGACTACAGAGACCACATGTCCCCAAACCAACCATCTACAGTGACCACATGTCCACGCACAGACCAACCGTCTACATTGACCACATGTCCACAAACCAACCATTTACAGAGACCACATGTCCACAAACCAACCATCTACAGTGACCACATGTCCACGCACAAACCAACCGTCTACATTGACCACATGTCCACAAACCAACTGTCTACAGTGACCACATGTTCAGAAACCAACTGTCTACAGTGACCACATGTCCACAATCCAACCATTTACAGAGTCCACATGTCCACAAACCAACCGTCTACAGTGACCACATGTTCACAAACCAACTGTGACTACAGAGACCACATGTCCACAAACCAACCATCTACAGTGACCACATGTTCACAAACCAACTGTGACTACAGAGACCACATGTCCACAAACCAACTGTCTACAGTGACCACATGTCCACAAACCAACTGTGACTACAGAGACCACATGTCCACAAACCAACCGTCTACAGTGACCACATGTTCACAAACCAACTGTGACTACACAGACCACATGTCCACAAACCAACCATCTACAGTGACCACATGTCCACGCACAAACCAACCGTCTACAGTGACCACATGTCCACAAACCAACCATCTACAGAGACCACCTGTCCACAAACCGACTGTCTACAGAGACCACATGTCCACAAACCAACCGTCTACAGTGACCACCTGTCCACAAACAACTGTCTACAGAGACCTAGTGTCCACTAACCAACTGTCTACAGAGACCTAGTGTCCACAAACCAACTGTCTACAGAGACCACCTGTCCACAAACCAACTGTCTACAGAGACCTAGTGTCCACAAACCAACTGTCTACAGACACCTAGTGTCCACAAACAACTGTCTACTAAGACCATGCATCCACAGACCATCTGTCTACAGGGAACACATGTCCACAGATCACTTGTCTACAGAGACCATGTGTCCACAGATCACCTGTCTACAGAGACCATCTTATTCCTAGTACTACTTGTCCATCAAATGTGTACAAATCATTAACACCTTTGTACAGAAACCACTTTTCCAAAGAGACATTTACAGAGATCACCTGTATACACACAGACCACCCTTCCTCCCATCCCCTGTCTATAGTGATTGTCTCCCCTGGAAATAAAGTAGTCCCGAACGTTAGCTTTGTAACTGTGATAAGAGTGGTGAATTTTTCAGTGATAAAGTTATCTTGTCAGTAGGGGGAATATAGACAGGAAAAACAACTTACCTCACAGATAACATATTTTCCAATGAATAATTTCAATTTTTCAAAACATTATATATATATACTACTAATTACCACACCTTTAGATTCTACATATGAAAGGAAAAATTGTCAACAGGTGTGTTCCTAAAATGACCTTAACAAATAACGGTACTCTGATTTCTATCCTTATAAATAGCAGGCAGAGAAGTTCTTTACTGAGAATATATTATAATTGATGTTGGACTCCTAAATCAAATGAAAATTTCTTATCAAGTATACTGAGAATTTATCTCCAACATTCTTTCAAGTGTTGTATTTATTGTTAAATGTTTATACCTTTTTTTCGCAAGTTCACTATGAGTAATGATGTCAAGAACATTAGGAAGATTTTTGAGTTTCACCACAAATATGTCTGATCTGCCTGTAATGACCGAGTTATGTCATTGTGGTGCACAAACCACAGGAGGGGGAGGTATAACCCTGGCCACAAACCTTTTTTCACCCAGTGTCACTATTTTGAAGAATGATTTCAAATGTATACAAAACTTTATAACATACTCATACTACATAATGACTCAGTGTAATCTACCTTGAGCTAGGATTACCTATTTTACATGCACAGGTAAATCTGATTAGTTAACCCTTTCAACTCTAGGTAACTTTAATAGACTCGACCATACATTTAAATGGACGAGTCCATTATGGTCTACAGCGGTGGTTCAACTGTCCGTTTACATTTGTCAACAATGCACAGCACTGCAGCATACAAACATACAATGAACAAAAAAAACCTGCACTAGTTATATGATCCAGAAAACCATTTCATGCTCAATTAAACAAGAAAAATATACAATCTCATTGTTGAAAAAGAATGTTCTTTTTCAAGTCTGTTTGACTTTTCTTACAAACGTTGTAGGCAATCTGATTGAAGATAACATGATATTATCACAGCCAATCAGGGTATGTACCCAAACCACTCCTGTTGCTACAGTAAAAATTGATCTGAGGAACCATGTATAGGGGACATAATGTTGTCAAGCTGACAGTTGACACTCCCCTTAAGTAGGTGAATGGGGAGTTTAAAAGAAAAATAGCAAAACCAAAAAAAAGGCAAACGGCAAAGCTTAAAGAATTTGAAATCGATAATTGTCAAATATCTAGACATATAAACCCAGCCGATTCACAGAGCTGATTGGCATTCAAAACCTTGTCTAGATCTGCAATATTTTGCTTCTTTTTCAAAGTCTTTAATACAGTGTAACAGGAAATGGGAAAATGCATGGCCAGACCGGGACTTTCCTTACTCTAGACGGACGCTCTACCAATTGAGCTACCTGGTCGCTGATGATTGACCCAGTTTAATTAGTTCTGCTTCACCAGTATAGCAGGAAGTTCACATCAAAGTCCTTGTTAATTAAACGAGAGTATATATGATCGTTACATCAAGTAGGATGAGATGTTGTTTTACATTATCGTTTTAAATGGATCTTTATCATTTGATTATTTACTGCAAAATCTAACAGTCAATACACATAGATTTAGTCTCAAATGTTATTTGGAGAAACTTTAAAAGAAAGAGAATTTGTTATTAACAGCCATCATGTCTCGATTAAGCAGATTTTTATTTTAGAAGTTATCTTTATTGCAATCTAGATAGCATTTCTTTTTATTCAAATGCAGTCTATGAGAACAAACGTTCATTGACAACCCCTTAGTCACATTAAAAATGTTCTATAGATATTAAAGAGACTATTGTATAAGTAAATCTCATGTAAACAAAGCCTCCACGTTGACGAGTGTCACATCACCAAATATGGGCATTTGCTCAATTAAACACAATTTCCGGTAATATTCTCAAATGAAAAGCAGACGCATTAAGTTTGAGGCGTGTCTGAATTCAACTGATTTCCCTAATACAATGTTCTTCTATTTGAGAGAGATGAGTGTTGTTGTTTTTTGTATTCATACATATACAACTCTTTTAACTCATTCACCCCTGAAGGCACATTTGAAACCTTCCAATTCAAAGGTTGGAATAGTTCATTATGAAATTTCAGGGGTGAATGAGTTAATTTAGTGAAAAGGATTTTTAGAATATCCTTGGCATGTTTCTTCATTGCTTTATGAATAGTAAAAAGGTTTCCTTTTGAATATACTCCAAATATTGCTCTTATAAACCAACTAACCAGTTTAGTCAAAATTATGAGAGTAATACATTGTCACAATCCTTCACAATGTCAACCTCCCGTTCGGAAAGTGGAAGCAGATTAATTTCGTAACATACCTGACTAGAGGCTGTTGTGAGTCCTTCTCCAGGAAGTCATGTTCCTTCTCCACCGAAGCGATGTTCACAGGAAAATGACCATCTGCAAACAATCAAACAAGAACATATTATAATGTTTACTAATAGTAATTAATCACGAACACTTATTTTGAATTATAAAAAGTCTATCTTGACTTCTCAGTAAAGTGGCTGTATTTAAACGCGATTTACACATTTGAAAGTGACAAATTATCTAACCTTCTCTCAGGTAAATCATGGCAACCAATCAAAAGTTCCGTGTACTTTTACCATACATCAACATTGCAAACACAAACCATATGGACTTTGAATGAGCGCTCTCAATTCACAATGAGTTTTTTTTGCCAAAACTTTGGAATTCAAAGCATTAACTCCTCCCACACTTTATCAAGTTGTAAATATATAAATTTTATTCTGAAAAAGAAAACGCCTTTTCCTAATTAGAAAGGCAGACAACCTTTACCGACAAGACCTGCCAGCTTAATTCTCTGTTCATCCCATAGAGCTTTATGCATGTTCAAGCTGTGGGCATTTTGTACTGGGACGATACACCTCAATCCTCCCACAATATTATAAATGGGTTCCATCTCAGTAATCTTCTATGCTCATTCATTCAAAATATTTTATGAATCAAACTAAATGTTAAGACTGTTTACATTTCATGCTGTTGGTAATATTGTGAATCAATTTTCAATACAATTTTCGATTGTTTTTTTCCCCCTTAAAAATATATGTATAATTTATTAAATCCTTCAAAGTAAATGTTTACACATATAGTTAAAAGTATATATTATCCAAAGAACTTGTAATCGAATTCAGAGCTTCCAAATTGTAAGGATTGGTCATCTACGTCTACGTTACCAGCTCACGAGACTTACGAATTCTGAAAGAACCTGTGAGCTTCGTAAATTCCCAGTTCCCGAATATAAGAACTTGCAATCTTGTTCGGAATTCCTTATCATAACTAACTTGTGATCTCCTTCATAAGAATTTGCAAGCTTGTTCAAAGTTTTCCAATTTTAAGAACTTGCAAGCTTGTTCAGAGCTTCCGATCGTATACATTTGTGAGCTGGTTTGACAGTTCCGAATCATGAGATCTGTTGCACAGGTCTAAGAGTTCACCAATCTCAACTGAACTGATGAGCTAGTAGGGTGTTCACATATGTCCTCATACCTATACATAAGCCATTAAAGCTGAATATGTACCTAGGTATTAGTTGGTCTATATATAAATTGTTGTAGTGGTACTAGGGCTGTTGACATAACCTGGGTAGAGTGCTGGTTTATCCTAAAGTAAAGACAGTAATCCCTGGTCATTTTAGTGATGCCTCTCCCATCAACTCTGTCCACCTCACGGGAGTAACTCATTTCCCCCTGAAATTTCATAATGAACTATTCCCACCTTTGAGTTGGAAGAGTTCACATGTGTCTTTAGGGGTGAATGAGTTAAAAACAAGTAGATATTTAATTTAAATAAAATCCTCATCATTATTACCTAATACTTTCAATCCCTTTTATCAATTTTCTTTCCCTTCAACACAAGCCCATGAAGAAAGTGTTTACAATGATCTCGAAATTGGTTGCATATCTGAGGTATGTAGAAGCAGTGAAAGTATTTGCACCTTTGTTTGACAGGAGTGACTGCCTATATAACACCACAGAAGGGAAATTCTGATCCAGAGATTGAAAGACGCAAATAATTTGGAAATAGAAACCACCAAGCTTAACGTTTAGTCTCTTAACTTCATTTCTACACTTTAAAGATGTATGCAATATTTTGTACTTTTTTTATCATATTTTACCTCCTTGCACTATAATAACTCTCTAAGTCTATCCTGCTTTGACTTTATAAGATATACAACGATTCATATGATTTAAATTTTGATTCCTTGCATACATGAAGGTTTTCTGGCCCTTAATGATTAATGTTGTGGATGGGCCGTTAAACTCAATCAAACAAACATACAGTGTTGAAGAGAATTGATTACATTGTTACCTCCCTTTACAAGTACAGACAGTGTGATTACATTGTTATCTCCCTTTACAAGGACAGTCAGTGTGATTACATTGTTATCTCCCTTTACAAGGACAGTCAGTGTGATTACATTGTTACCTCCCTTTACAAGGACAGTCGGTGTGATAACATTGTTATCTCCCTTTACAAGGACAGTCAGTATGATAACATTGTTTCCTCCCTTTACAAGGACAGTCAGTATGATAACATTGTTTCCTCCCTTTACAAGGACAGTCGGTGTGATTACATTGTTACCTCCCTTTACAAGGACAGACAGTGTGATAACATTGTTATCTCCCTTTACAAGGACAGTCGGTGTGATTAATTGTTACCTCCTTTTACAAGAACAGTCGGTGTGATTACATTTTTACCTCCCTTTACAAGGACAGACAGCATGATTACATTGTTATCTCCCTTTACAAGGACAGTCGGTGTGATTACATTGTTACCTCCATTTACAAGGACAGTCGGTGCACTGTACCCAAGTACTTTTGAATTCATACCTAATGAACTCAAATTCATGTATGTCAAATTTATTTCTCGCTGTAAAATATAATTTATATTACATTTATTCACAGATAGTGTCTAAAATACATAAATGGTATCATATCATACCACCCATATTCTGTCATCCCTTTAATACACGTCCAGGACAATTTTAAGTGTATCTGTGCTATATTCCCTGCTGTGTGTAAATACCATTCATAATATCATACATAGATCATAACAAAATAGAAATTCATAGAAAATATGGAAGGATTTAGATAACATTAATGATACAGTGACATATATAGCCAGGTGTCATACAGTACTGTTTGTGTGGCAAATCTCACTGAGGCAGCGACACTTGTGATATTTTAGACATGTGGTGTTAAATTCACATCTCCTAACACAAATATACTGATAAGGAATTCTGATGGTCATAAATTGACACAAAATATGAATACCGAACTGTATCTGTTATGCACATAATTTAAATATATTAATATTGACTCAATAGGTGTATATACCAATACAGTTCAAATGAGACCATTTAGATTAACGTTATTGTAAAATTGACAAATTATCATTCTTGGAAAACTGGTTGTTTTTAATATTCGGCTATATATAACAATGTGTTAATGTATATGATTAATTACAACCTAAGTATATTCTATTTATGTCTATATAAAAATCTACATACGTATTTCCTTATTCTATTTTGAATATTAATTGTGATTGAACCGTTAATTTGGTCTAAAGCTATAGGTGTCACATACATCTACATCATGTTACAACTTTAAACATAATTCGTTCATCTTTTTATAAATCAGGAAATCTACCAAATCCATCTTTTGTCAGCTGTCTAGTTTTTTACTAGACTGTTGTAGTAAAATGTAAATCGTGTAACGGAGTTGTATATTGTGTGTCTTTCATTTTAGAACATAATCTCTTCAAGCGCAAGATCTTAGAATAAACATAGGCCAATCTTTACAAATTAACAGTATATAAAGTTTCAGGTGAGATTTCTCCGACACAGTTTATAACCGAACCCAAACTTCGATAACAATGGCCAGGTCTCAATGAACGACACATATCGCTTTTTGTCGTACGCGAACAAGAACTTTTTCACAATACTTAATAGGCCTTTTATCCGATCTTTTTTCCTTGTTAGCGCCAATGCCTAGACATTGGAATCCGTTTAAATCGTGTAACGACACTGTTACATGCAAAGTGATAGTAACATCCTCTCACTTCAGACTGTATCGAAGATTTTAGTCGACATGAAAGGGAGCGAGACGAAACCAGATCAGCCTTCTTTATAGTCTATACTCTTCCCACAATAAAACTAACTTGTTACTCTTACAAAATGGTCTCATTACCAATTTCACAGTATTGTATATTTATGAAGTCATCTAATCTGATAATTCCAATAAACCACATTAATGTCACAGGTGACTTTAGTGTAACGAGTCTGGGACTGTATGTTATCGGTAGGTTAGCATTGAAGCAGACCACCCTGAAAACGCAGAACACAAAACAGCAGAATTGCAAAATATGAATGCAAGGTAATTATCAACCTTGACGATGGAGATTTGTGAAGACTTATCATTGCCAACTATCAATGCAATCTACTCTATACGTAGTCATAAAATTTCAGCTAAACTGGGATACTGTGACCCTGGTTGAGTTGATGAATTAATTAGTGTCAAACAGTTTGCATATTTGTGTTAAATGTATCTAAAAGATACAATAAAACATACAATACACGTAAGTGCTTCTATTTTGGTCGACATTTTCAAAATATTTTTGTTTTTGTTTTGTTTTGTGTTTTACGTTTTAAGGATGTGTTGGAGGAAAGCCGGAGACCTACGACCAGTACCTAGTGAGTGCCCCATGTAGGCCTGGAACCCCCTGACCCAGTGGTTGAGGAGGGCCAATGGGAGCAGAATGTCAGGACTCTAAACCAATGGCCATCGCGACCCCTTTCAAAATATTCAAGTATTTTTTCAAAATTTCAACACTAGCAATTCAGTCAACTTACATGTGAGTAACTTTGTTATACAATCTAATGCATCATTTTTTGTACGGTAATGACAAGATAAAGAAATGACAAGACATAAACTATTAACTTCACGCAGCCATCAAAGTCTTATTTCATTTCTTGAATTTTTATTTTTCATAATAGAGAGAATTTTAAAAATCTAGTCTGCCTGCAAAAAATAATATCTTCTTAAACCAAAAACATCCTGTTCTGCTTATCCCGAACATTAAAAACGGACGAAAAAAACTTTTAAAATGACACTCACCATCATACATTTGGGCATACTGTGGAAAACCAGCCTCCTTCAGCCATCTGCACGCTTGGACAGCTTCAATTTCTGTAAGACATAAAAGAATCCAATTTGATATAATACTGCACAGCGAAACATAATCTCTGGGGACTTTAGCCCCCAAACAATATGGAAATAATGAACTTAATAAAACATAATTATATTAGTAATGCTACAGATATAAAGGGATGAGATGATGCTGACTATATGGCTCATGTATCCTAGGGCTAGAAAAACTGTCTGTTGCTGCCGAGACGCGGAGACAAACCAGCGGAGACAAACCACCACACTGCAGTCACGATACAGTCCCACGAAAATCTTTTGATACTGTATTTCTGTCATTCTCTAAAGGGACAATGGGAATGCCTAGAAATTGATCAGTACATTTGAAAAAAAAATTTTTTTTGTTCTCTCTCTATCTCAAAATAAACCCATGAAATGTTGGATATTGCACAATAGAGACTTGTACTCGAACCACACTCCATATCTCCCCCCTCCTGACTGAATGTCAGTTAATCCGCATCAATACATCACCTCTTCGAGTCCTCTCTGCAGTCACTATTTTAATTAAATACACATGGTATATGGTGATGTGATTAGTATCAGTTTCAAACAACCACCACATTAGCTTTTTAGTCAATAGTAAACCACCGTAACAGATATTTCTCCCAATATTTCCATCAGTCATTACGTAATTGTTGGAAATCCAATTCAGTAATCTCTCGATGTATCACAGTTAATTAAGCATTACTGATGAAAAATTCCCGCAAAATTGTTGAGAATCCATTTCACAGTCAATTAAGTATATTTGATGAAAAAAAACCCCAATTAATAGAAGAACAATTACGTTGATGAACAACATCCATACAAAGAATAACTGAAGGGAAAATGCAGAAAATGCTCATAATGGAACAAGATGATACAAAGACAGCTATTGAATTTTCCTCAAACAGTTACAATTCCTGTATCAGAAATGTTTTCAAATTTGTTTGCGTAAAAATCTTTTCTTGTATATCAAACAGTACTTTTGAAGTTGTTCAAATATTCGTGTCTTATTATGCCATTTAAAAACCCAAGAATATATTTAACGAGACTTGCGTACCTGGGAACAAGATTTGATTGCTGAGTATAGAACTATCACTATACATTATGTAGGCTAAGCTAACACCACATTCCTCAAGAGGGACAACCCTGTTAGCGACAAAACATCTCATTTTTACGCGCAATCTTAGCGTGGGATCATGATTCGACATTTAATTTGCCACACTGACAGAATTTTGAAATAGAGCCGATATTAATAGACAATCACTGCAAATAAGTTCCCGTATACGTCTCACTTATCAGGTATTTGAAATACAGGTAGATGAAACAAATATTTAAGCATTAAAATTATACTTTAAAGTTTTTCAATCTTCGACCAGCAAATGATTCTCTTTGCAATATGAGGTTACATTTGCTCATGTTATTCGAATTCTACTTTTACCCAGGTAGTGAAATCTACCTTTCATCTCTGTGCAATATGTCTATATCTAGATATATCTAGATTTTGCTCAAGTACTACAAATCTAATTTGACAGAACGTGGCCACGATATAAATTTCAATTAAACCTATCATGTACACGAAAAACATATAAACAAAGATCAAATACCGCAGAGAAACAATATTTTTCTTCAAGGAATATAGGGATCAATGTTAAAACTTTGAATCACAAACTACTAAAATGAAAATATTTTTAGAAAATGTTAAATTTCCAAATGTCTGGTATGACAAAAGCCTCTCTAGGAGCCTTACCTTGGGCACGAGTTTCACGACACGTCCCTAGGCAGCCAACTTTGGCAAACATACTTCTGCTACACATATGGCAGGTGGTGCCATTAGCTTTTCCTGGTGAATTTTTACCAAAGGAAAATTTCAGCTGTAGACAATCTGAGATTAATTTAACTGATGTCATTCTAGTAAACTCCATTTAGATTGGTCACAGAAGGTTATAGTGATACACTGCTCTCTGTTTATAAGTGATATACGTTTTAAAACTTGTACACTAAATGTTGATCCTTAGCATCCAGTAGATCTCCTATTTATTTAAGACACTTCATGACTTGGAAGACACCTGCGAAGTTAATGGTTTCTGTGGAAAGCACAACAACATTTTCTCACACTTTTTGTTACTATGACTTGTTCAATATTACAGGTCTCTATAAGTGGTGAGACACTTGTTGTTATAGCTGGACGTGGATCCAATTCTCGTCAACATCAACACTTGCCACCATGTTGTCACGTCTAATACCAGTAGGGGACACGTACACACATCTTACTATGAAATGAGTTCTGGCTGTGTAAATCCCAAGCGACTAGAGCAAATATGCCTGGCCCTATTTAAATTGTCACCCTAATTCAATAACATATGAGCCGATGCCTCTGTTGGGTTGTCACTTTAACCACCGAGACCCATGGTTCCGACCAAACAGTCTGGAAAATGCAGTACTCACAGAATGCTATTGCAAGCAAACGGGAAAAACCAAGTCCAAGTTTCATTATCTTCACTTTTGAAAATATGTCTGAATTTCTTGAAAGATTGCTCCGCCCTTAAATCCACATTTCCTGTCCGTGTAAGCATGGCGACTATTATAAACACAAGAGGTACAACCGTTCTAAGCTTGAACGCCAACAAAAAGTCATCAAAAGCTATGACAATATTTGCTGAGGATAAAACTCACAAAAATGTTCCAATATTTAAATCCCCTAACAAAGGTGAGAAAGTGATTCTCCAACAAATTCAGACCACTGGTCACTGTTCGTTTGTGGACCAGAGAGCAGCTAATGTGTTAGGTCAACCCACGTTGATGACTTTGCCGGGGTCTTGTTCAATTGACCAGCTGAATACTATCGTTGCCCACCACCAGATACTGCGATACATTTGTTATGCTGTAATCTGGAGACCGATAAATGCAAACAATGACGCATTTCCCGTCCAGTTTTGAAACCGTCTTCATTGATTTTGACCAACGGCCAACATTTCCTGTACTGTCTGTTGCTCGTTGCCCATATCAAACATCAATCGCCCCAAAATGACACAATTAAAACTTTCCGATTTTAAAACGAGCGCCATTAAAGCCGACATCAAACGCTGACTGGATTGCGAGACATTATGACACGGTAAGGGTCGGTGTGAAGGGAACGCTATCACTGTTTATCAACACTGTCCAGGATGTAATCACATGGTTATGGTTCCCCACCCACTATCTCCTGGCCGACTCTCCCTCTACCTGTCCTCCAGTTATACCTGTCCCTAAGCCCACATATACAACCATCCTCAGGTCTTAAACCAATAGCGTGGATATATCCACAGTTTTCTATAGGTGATAATGAAATTTTGTAAATGGCAAACCCTAGGAGACCGCAGAAGCTGAAAAGAAGGATATGAAAATGTGGTGTCATAACACTTGTTAGGAATACTGAGGAAATTTGTATCACATTCACCCATATTTCACAGTAACAGAAGGCACATCAAAAGGTTTGGGAGAAACTATTGACTTTATGGGGTGAGCAGGATGTTGAATTAACTGTCATATTTCTCAATGATTTATTACTTTATTACACACCTGTATATATATATACATACTCATCCTCTATCAAGAGAAATGATTTTTACCTGTGATCTATTACTTACTACACACCTGTATATTATATATATTCCCCTTCTCCTCGGTAACATGACAAATAGGGGAAATTGTATGTCTGTAGTTATACATAGTGACCTTCTTCCTGCCACAACACTGCCTTTTACAGGGTTTCTTAATGTTTTCTTACAGCCTACACGAATAGCTGACATTTTTGTTTCTGAAAAAAATGTTATTAACAATTATCACTTGACATATATCGGATAAACAACTGAAGATTTTTGACTCTCCAGACTTAAACAACAATTAAACAAATTGTTAAGACTACAAAAAGCTTCACCACCCTCATAATTACACATCCATTTGACAATGATTGGTCATAATGATAAGTTTCGGACGGTCAGTTATTGTAGTGTTTAACAGTATAGTCGGGATATATTCTATATTTGTCTTACATTGTCCAAAACTGTGACAAAGTCTATATGCTTCATTACTGTGACATGACTACATTGTTTTTTTAACTTTTGTTTGTTTTTAATTACCAGTTATATTTTTGGAATATTATTTTGTTATTGGCTGATTAAATGCTTTATTTGAAAGCTACAAGAGGGTACATGCACGGATAATAACCTACAGTTATTGTTATTCAGTACAACAGGCTAATAAAGATTCAAAAGGTAGATAACTCTAACACAAACCTATGGTATGTTGTGTACTGTGTTCATACTCAAGGGAGATAACTAACACAAATCACAGGTATGATGGTATCATGTGTAATGTTAAATAGTCAAGACAGAAAAATTACAATTTTAATGTGTAAAGTAGTATTTTGAAAGGAGAAAATGCTAAAACAAATCACATGTATAATGTGTGATGCAATATACTTAAGGGAGATAACTCTAATAAAATTCACAGTCGTAATGTGCAATGTATAATAATTTTATTATATTAAGGGAGAAAACAAATACAAATCAGGGGAGTAGTGCATAATGTAAAACTAAGGGAGACAACTCTAACATGGAACCAACGTAAAATGTGTAAGAAAGCGTTATATTTTTAAGGAAGATAACTCTAAACACAGATCAAGGTTTTATGTGTGTCAGGTGTTTACATTCTGAAGTGACTTGTACTTTTCTCCCGATAATGAACCTGGCACAACTCCCAGTATCAAATACATGACTGATTTCCTCAGTAGAATAAAACCCAAAATAATGTCCCGATTTTATCGCGAGATGATTGCCAAAGTTAAGAATATCTAAATGTAAATACTTTGTGAAGACACGATTATACACATCATATGTTTTGCGTTTTTTTTTATAATGCTTCTTTCGTTATCAAAAACAAATTTTTAGAGGGAATAAAATGAAAACAGGTCATTAATACCTATTTCTCTTCACTGTAATCTATCTAGTAATCTGTTCTATATG